GTACACTACAGATGTAGGCTAAGTACGGTATCCTAGAGCAGAGCTGGTAACTAAAGTAAGTTAAAGCCACACTGACCTTACACTGTCGATACTGCGAGAAGGAGAATTGCTTCTTTTTTCCGTCATCGGTAACATGGTGCTACGCGTACCTTTTTTTAAGCCTATACCACTTGTGGCTGGGGACGTGTGTAAAATCTACGTATGTAGCTTGAGTCTGTCCCGATAGCTTGCTTGACTGACCGTATTCTGGAAGATTGCAGGACACACCATACGAGTTGTTCAAGCTACTGCTTTGTCTAGGTGATTGAAAAAGTAGGAGCGCTATTTTAGGTGGCATAAAACCGAATCTATACAATATCATAGTTAATGGGGTAGTTAGCAGTGTTCAATACCATCGTTCTTATTATCTAAGCTTGTTAAGGTTGCCGTCATCGTTATTGATTATTAAAAAGCGTCTGTAGGCATCGAGTCCTGAAATACTGATGTGAAGTTATCGCAGGGACGATGTAAAAAGCTTTGAATAATATTAGTAGCTGGATTAACATTCATGTTCAATTTAAACTGAACTCACATATTAGCTCACGTATGACGTAACCGCGATAGTTCAACGATGATGAAAATCCTAACATGACTCTAGGAATAAAGCCAAAATCGGCCAGCTCAGCCATCACTATTTGCTTTGGGAAAAACTTAGACTACAAATTATTTTAAGCGTCTCAGATTTCTCCAATGCCCTCAGCTCTTTCCAACTTTTTTTCGTCTACTGCGTTTTTATATACTGTTTGATAAATGACACGAGGATCGGTTCCTTAAACGCAAATTGTAAACGCTTCACGCACTCGGCAGCTGTAGGTGTGCGCGAAGAAATCAAGGTCTGAGTTATACACGAACGTTCTTCCTTCTTTATACAACAATTAGTCAGCTTAATCGACTCTTCGATCGGGTAGGAAACAGGAGATAATGCTAAGGAAAGGGGCGGAGAGGATGCGAAAGGAAGAGACAAATCGAAACGTAACGAGAAAAAGTGATACTTATGTAGTCGACAATATCAAACGTGTAAAAATAGAAACAGTAAAACGCTGCGACTAGCAGCCGTAGGCAGGGCCGTGAACGCGGGTAACTGAGGATACAACAAGACTCAACAACAGTGTGTCCCATTGCACCCCTCTCGGTAGTAGGCGCAGTTATGGAGAATGGGGCGGCCATTCTACGTTCTTACGTCACCTGTAGTTCTGCGCAGAGAATGATGGAGGTCACGGTTGAAGAATTTCGAACTGTCAACAGTTCAACAATATATATCAAGCGAGGAAGCTAGTTAAGTGAAATCTGGCCGAATTTACGTGGAACGAGGACTCCTTGATGCCATTCGCTCCCGTTGTTCTAACAGCAGCAGTAGGGACGTGCTCAAAGCACAAGCTTTCGTCAGTTATACCCTGCTTTATACTAGAAGTCGGCCAGTGAACCCTAGTGAAACTTCCTTTGTCGAAAACCAGTCAAGCGCCCAGCGTGCGAAGAAAACGAGATAAGGAAAGAAGGCGAAGGGGAGCAAAAGCAGAAAGAGCCAAAAGTCGATTCACTGCAGTCAGCTGCGGGTGATCTGGAAAAGCGAGATGGTCCCCAATATCCTAAGCTGATTTCGGATATTGTAATATCTTCGTGTTCGAACTACACTAAGCTTCAGGATATACAGCGACAGCAGCACAATGTAGAAAGCATGACATGTAGAAAGGAGAGTGCAGGTTTTTAAACGATTATGCTTGCGGCATACAGCAAAAGTCGCGCATCAGGCATAAGATAATGTGCTATTCAACATATTTATCAACATGTATTAGTTTCATAAATGTCCCCATTACGAAGCTAATTATTGGACTCCTTTTTCTACATGTACGTACTGAAAAGCAAAAAAAAGTGCATGTATAAAGAGGAGGAATAGGCAAACCTTAATTACTTCGGCAAGACCGTCGGTGAAATTGGTCCTGTGGCCGAGGCTGACATGGCGCAATCGAGAAAGGCCTTTAGGCTAAAACAAAATTTGTGACAACAACGAAGTCTCACGGATTACGGAACATGATTGAAGATAAGGTGATCGAAATACTCGTTAGTGCAAACTATACATGTTATAGAAACCTCTTAATATTCGCTGTGTTTCTGTTTAAAGAAAAAAGGGCCACGGGCCCTTTAAAGCAGTGTCACCTTCAAAAGAACCTTTATAGCACTTTTTACCCCAACCTTTTCACTTCAGCCGTAACTCTCAACAGCTGATCCAGCCGCTGGTTTCGCCGCTATTCTGCTAGATTATAATCCTGGTTGGTGCTTCAGCTCTGTGTAGGTCCCGGTAAGATTGGATACAAGAGATCGAGAGAGATACGCGGAAAAAGCTAGGTGATAAAAAAACATTAGGTATCAAAGTGGTTCGGGGTTTCTTGCTCTCTAGTTATTCCTGGCGGGCGACGGTTGTAAGAAGAGGAAGTCTTCGGGGGGTAAACATTATCGGGAGGTTTGAGTAGAACCTGGATGCATTTGGCTGCTATTAGATTTTTATTGGAGTTCCTATACGCAAGAATTTGCTCCGGCCTGCGTTTTCAGGTGGCCAAACTGGCAGAGTCCTTGGCCACGTAGCCAAGCCCACCTCACCAAAGCTACTACTGTCGCCGGTAATCCAGCTGTTATAACACGGCATGCTCTTTTTTTTTGATATTGTTTGACATTTGGGTGCGTGATCATTGTACTTATTATTACAGCGTGAGGACAATGATGGGTGATGCTCCGTTCTTCTATGCGTATGCTATTTTATATTTTACTGGTCTAAGGAGACATAATCCTTGTTACCTTATTTATACGTGTTTACTATTTTTACGCTACATATAGTGTAAAATGTACAGAATATATTTGCTAAAGGGGATTGACGATGAAAGTGAATTACAATTTGCTGAACGCGCTTCGTACGTTTCTGTTTGGAGGGCAGAAAGCAATGCAAACTATATGGCGTACATACACCCAGAGACGCGCATAACACAGAGTTTAACACCATCAGATTTCTCATCTATTTTCAACTCGTGCCGCTACTTGTAGCAGTGGTACATTTGACACAGCCAGCTGTCTATCACCAGCATTTCTAAAAAGTCCGGATGCATTCTTCTGTCTACCTACAGAAGCCTTTTCCGGTTTTCTCCATTTTTCGACAGACTTGACTGCTCTGCGGGTCCAACACAACCTTTTTGGATGAACCCTGTTGGTCGCTGTCCCTGGGAGAGTGAAGGAGGGTATGGAGCATGGGATGTTAGGACGGCTTTTTTAGCGAAGTGCATTGCGGAGCAGGCAAAGAAGACGTCAAATAGACGCACCTAGAGCTCTGAGATCCCGAACGAAAGGTTAGAGCCGAAAGAAGAATTTCAATATGTTGTTCACACGTAAGATATTGAAGACCGGAAAAAAGTAAGAAAGAGCTTGAAGACTGTAGTTCGGCAGAGCTGAAGGTGAGCCCGGGATAAGATGTCATCGTGTGCGGCAACTGTACGTGAGAAGGGGTCAGCTTGGAAGCAGCAGCAGCATTGAGCCTAGTTCAAAAGTAGCGGGGCCCAGTTCGAATAGTTACCGCCGTCACTGGCAGAACTTTATTCAGCGGCCAAACGAGTTGAACTATTGGAAAGCTTTTCCTGCACATTGCGTGGGTGCCGTCGTATGAATGACTGGGTCGGTACTAGGACGTAGCGTTTATGGTTGAAGGGTTTAATTTCATCCGTGTCCCATAAGCTGCATTTCAACGAGTGAAAGAAACAGACGAGCCCGCAGCTACAACCAACAACAACTCTGGCAAAAAATTTACATGTGTGTTACCAAACATGATGTGTTGTAATTTTGTTTGTAATACGTATTACTATATATACAGATAATGTAGCTGTTTGCTTGCGAATGCTCTATATGCTCGTTTCGATAATAGGAGAGTTTATAAAAATTTCCACTCGGTGTAGTTGCATTCTGGGTAATAATTATTAAACACATTTGATATGAAATTCGCCTAAAGACCGCTACGATCTGCGAGCATATCCCTACCTTGTAGGCGTAACGTCACGTCTTCATCCAGCGCACGCTTTAGTTCTCGTTCATTCAACATAACCTTTAGCAAAAAGGTAAGTGGATGGCTATCAGTACGAATTAGCCGATAAAACGACAAGTGAACTTGTTTCAGGCTGTACCGGGCGTCATGCATACTCCTAAATAAAATATCTAAAATGCTATTTTGGATGATGCAACGTGTGTTCGAAAGAACAGATTGCACTTGTCGGCCGATCGTCTTTTGTTTTCGATTTCAAATCGGTATCGGCCCGGATTAACGAAAACGCGTGTATTGAAGTCCAACGTAACATCGCACCCTGACTCGCACTCCACAAACCTCCAGGCTGATTATGTTTCGGCTGTGATTAGAGTTCAACTAGCCGTGACTTTCGGTTAGGGTTCTCATTATAGGTCCCTGCAATTATTTACAGTGACATAACAGGGAAGATTGCAAACGGCAGCCGCGCTCATGATACTCGCACAGCAGCGTCACATTCGAAACGTACTGTATCACGTTCCCTCGACATAAAGAAAGGATTTCCTTCAACAGCAAATGACCAGTCTACAATAGTTGAAACTGCAAACGGTTATCGTTGGCTAGGCAGTAGCATGACTTTTAGACACTACCGACCGACGCATTCCTATGTCATAATAGCGGAAATGGACATATGGTCTGCTTCATAATACCACAAATTCGGAAGTAGCTCGTTCGAGCCGAAACAGAGTTTAAAAAAATGTTGCTAGCTTCGTTGCCTATCAACTTTGTCTATAATTCGTGAACTAATTGGCAACAAAAGACATGCCATTTATGTATAGTTGGCATTTACTGAACTCTCTGCCGCTTATCACTGACTAAGCATTATTGTTTACGTTTTACAGCATTAACTAGCCTTCAGTTGTCAAAAATGTTAACTAGTCTAATCCCTGGTTTTCCTGAACCGCAGGTGGGTATTCACATTCTTCGGCAGAGGGAAGCGTCATCTAGTGACGGACTTGAGTCCAACGGCAGCGAAGATCCAGGACTTCGCGTGCCTCACGGACAGATGGGCGCTGGCCATGCTATGGGTGGCCACTCGCAGACGCCCACGCCACCCAGTGATCCCGAGCAGATGCAACAACAAGGTCGAGTACAGCAACAGGCAAGCCATTCGCAACAGGTGTGTATTAATCTGCAGCAGCATCGCTACGGCCCTTACCTTAACTAGGTCCATATATTATATATGATGGGAGGTGGAAAATTTTCAACGTTTAATTCGTCTTGGACTTTAACACCGTTTCTTATTAAAAGTGCTATTATCGTGTTTCCCTTGCGGAGTGAAAAAAAAAGGCTATTTCACAGCGCTGTTTATGTTACATTACGTCATACCGTTTCATCTCATAACAATTCAAAAGCTATCTTCATCAATACAGGGTGGAGGTTTGGCTTCAGTGCGCGAATTGCAAACCCACAATTCGACATCAAGCGATGAACGTAGCAGCCCGAGAAGTGACTATTTTTCGAAGGAGAGCTCGATTGCCTCCACCGAGCATCGGCAAACGTTGACTATGTCCACCGCGAGCCACCAGATCACGCACGGAATGCAGAGCATGAACACGGTCGGCTTGCCCCAAGCAAACGCCCGAAAGAAACCTTCTGAAATAGCTGCAAAACCGTTTATGGTGAGTTCATAATGAACTGTTTCTAATGTAGCTTTATTATCTACGTAGCTAGATAGCTACAATGAGTGTTCTTAAGTTACGTGCTTTGTATCTTGTATAGAAGACTATATGTATTTATTGTCAAAATTCTGGGTTAGTTGCAATTTATATATGTATGTATTTAGCTAATGTATCTTCATATTTACACGGATGTTTAACGTTTCACATTTACAGATCCCAAACGTCGCTAATTTACGACCGGTTATCCCGCAAGTCGTGCAACCGTCGTACTACAGTCGGATGGCGCATGACATGCAGGGATTCCATCCAGTAGAGTCAGGACAGCCAAGCGGTGGCCAGGATACCTCATATGCATCGATCGATCACGGGGTTGGTGTTCTTGCAGCACCAACAGGAGCTATGGTACATCAAGTCAATGTGGTCGCCCTCAGCGATGAAGACGCCTCAAGGAATAACGACCTTCTCGAGACGCAGATCTGACCGCGCGGCGCTAACTACCAAAATTCGTACAATGGATGATTGAACTGAATCGACTATTTAAGCTGGATTTAAGCAAGCAGAAGGCGAGACTAGAAGGAAAGAATATGAATATGAATACAGGGCCACGAATTATACACAATGCATAAGTACCGATGTTGACTGACAACGAACGGTTGGACGCACAATTCGACCCATATGCGACCCAAACAAACTGATCGAACATATGATCGAAGAGCGACCGTATTGCCTTAAAGAAGTGCACCTCAAGTTTTTCCTGGTCGAAACCCAGACAGGACTTGAGAAGGGCACTTATCTATCGACCGTATCGATAATGAACCGATAAATAGTACTGATCTCGGATGGAAAAGCTCAGCGATAAGAACGTAAACCGGTATTTAATACCTGCCGAATGGGTCGAACAGAGTATAAGAGGAAGAGGGTACACTGACAAAGGTAATGGCCGCGTTGACCAGATGACAGCCAGGTTACCGACTGACCAATGACCGCGAACACTTACGGACAGTAAGAGTAATATTATCTTTATTATGATGAATAAACAAAAACATATATATGAAATATAGGAAGTTATACAAGGTACCGTTTTACTCGATATAAACGAATATACCATACGAGATTTTCTATAATAACTCGTTTCCCCGTTATGCCAAGAATTAGCTGTTACAAAGAGGATGTACCAGTTAACTGAGGGGAATACCTTCAGGCAGTTTGACTCAAAAAAAGGTCAAGAGAGTTTAATTATTGGACATCACAAGGAATGTTTTACAGAGAGTACCTTATATACGTGTATGTAATTTTACGTGAGTATAATATTACTGAAACTGATTTTATTGGCGCTGGTATGCAAATTTTACGATGATGCGAGAACGGGAAAGAGCTAAATGATAATATCTCTGTTTTCTATAATAAAATCACATAGATCAGACGTAGCCATTGACAGTCATTGTGTCCCGGCGGTTTGATGGAACCGAACCGTGCGTAACAATCAGTCAGCAACATAAATCACTACATTTGTGAGGTCACACGGGTGTCGACCAAATGCAGGCGCGTTTATATCGTAGCTCTAATTGCGAGCTAAGAACAGATCGCCGTATTGTGGTAGACGGTGCGCCGCCAGTCCGTATCCCGCCGTCTGTTGAGGTCGCATTCTCTAAGGTCACACACACACGCATACGTCAGGAGAGGCACATCATACCATAATTACATTCAAGGTCACACAACAAACGGTTGTCTTTCAAGAATGTATATATTGACCTATAAACAGAGAAAGTAAGACTAAACGAAAACGATACATCTATATATATATATATATATATATATACATGTATAGCTAAATACAATGTGAACAACATAAACTGCCCAGTACTGCCGCTCAACACTCAGATTGCCCATCAGCGTGGAGACAGGCAATGGGCAAGGTGCAGAAGAAACTCATCTGTAGTCGTAGAGAATTTGGCCAGCTGCTGTATATGAACGGAAGTAACTAAAATGGCTATTCAGTAGTGAATAAGGTGCACACACTTAGTGAACTCAACTCCTTTGATCTACCGATCATTGGTGTACTACGACCGACATAAAAGCAAGCAAGAAGGAACGTTACCACTAAAATTGTAGCTTTTCGGTCGAGAAAAGTCGGAGTAAACACATGATATGATAACTGATGGGATTTGATTGGTAGGCTAAATGGCTTAAGCAGTTGAGTGGTTTAAACCAATGGGCTGGATAGATTTGTATATTATGTGAGGGTGGAATTGCAAGGGAGATACACGGCGGGGTATAGAGGTCAGTTCGTTGCCCGAAAGGTGCAGGAAAAAATAGAAGCGTTAACATAAAGGAAAATGAAACTGTTACGTATCATGGGTAAGCTAATACCAAAAAAAAACAGCTAACATACAACGATCGACTACAAACCGAGGTATATATCTCTATCGATAATAATGCGTACACTCTAATAGAAATAATACGTGCCTCAGCCGAACATTAAACTCGATTGGAGCTTCCGTTGGGGCGTAGACACAATCCAAACCAGTTAGGAATTGTGACTGCTAATTTTTTTCGATTTGCGAATGAATACTACCATGACGATACAAACAAGGGCAAGATAGAATTATAGTTCTTATAACGAAAATTCGTACTGAACATATATATATATGTGTTACAATCGACAGATGTTTTAAGGCGACTGATTTCGTTGATTGTCTCGGCTAGCTGCGGAAAAATACGATACATTAACATAATAGCCGTAGTAGTGCTAACATCATTAACAGAGATTATAACTCTACCGCTTGGAACTGAAACATACGCAGTGTGCGATTAGAACAATGCTAGATTAATGAAGCAAAACGATAACAAAGACAGGGGCAAAATGCAAAAAAAAATATGTGTACTCGCGCTCCGCGCGTGAATCGTAACTTGCGAACAAGTTTCCGCATCCGCTGAATGCTGGTATATTGAAATAGAAGCATTTTGTGAAACAGAATGGGAGAATGAAAAATAAAAGAATACAAGGAACAGTACAGTAAATGATAGGTAGAGGACGGGAGATTAATGCGTGTTTGTATACTGTAATATAAATACTAAAAAACTAGCATGATGCCAACACCGCCAATCGCTGTGTCGTTAGATGGACCCGGTTCAGTGAGCTGTAGGCCAATAGTATATTTCTATGTTAAGATTTTTTGTTATGATGAACAACTTACTTACTCGCCGCCCAACGGTGATTTTCAGTTGTTGAACTACATATATGAATTATGTGCCTCTTTCAAATCGAAAATGTGCTCAGTAGCGGAAAATATCTATGACAAAGCTTCGGTGAAGACTTTGAATAAACCTGCACGGTAACTGAGATAACGGTAGCAATAAGCAGGGATCATGCTGTTGCATATAGATGAAAAGGTCTAATGTAATAGGCCATTGCTGGCAATCGTAATTTTCAAGCCTTGCCTAAAGGCTGAACTATCGTCTTAACACCGGAACGTAACACGAGCGATATCTTGTGACTACTTTTAATTCTTTGCAACTATTTCGGATACATCCGCGAAGGTACTTAACGGCTTAAGAAATGTAATTATCAGTGGCAAAAGAAAAAAGTGGTTTCAGTAAATTGTGCATCGTTCATGAGACCGTTATAGGAACGAAGACAATAACTATAGGATCCTAATAACGAATATTAAAAGATGTGATCAAACGATACTTATGAACAAAATACAAAAGAAGTTGCAGGACAGCAAACAGTGTAGTTAACAATGGCTATTGTAATGAGATCATATATATATATATATCATGCAAGAACGCGCTACCGTGAAGTTTAATATATCAACATACAATTAATATAAATGAATACGGAAAACAAAAGCATCTATATTTAGTTGATGATAATGAGAGGGGAAGGATGGAAGCGAAAAAGTATGCACAAATATATATGACAAAAACAGTGTCACAGTTTGTATGTGTGTGTGTAGGTGAATGAGTCAGATAACAAAGCGATACACATGAACAGAACTTTATGAGTCGGATGCATGTATATATAACGATGATAATTATTAATATTAGGCAATTTTTGATGTGAGCAAACGAGGAAATGACGATGCGAAACGAATTAAAAATGGAGCATAACCGCGTAATAATAAATAAAAAATATGAAAATCAAGTGACTAAAAAAAAGCTGAAGGTATATATCAGAACGTCAAATTAAATTTGGCCCTTAGAGATAAAATATACCAGCTTTCTTTATATATCCTTTTGACGAATTTTGTCTTTATCCATACCTTAGCAGCGAATTAAATCTTCGAAATAAAATACAGATTACATTTTTATGCAACACAGAAAGGAAGCTAAGCAAGATGATCGAAAGTCTCTTATGCTCTGAAGCAGCAAGTACACATCATATACAACCAGAAAAGCGCTGGCAAATAAACGCAACCAAACAGAAAAATATACAGTCAGAAATTAACAGTAATAATATATGCATATATGTTTAAGTACTAGTGGAGTATATATATATTTATTTTATGTAAAGAAAGCACAAACAAAGAAGAAAGAAGGACATGTTGAACTCATGCGCGCGTACATAGAAAATACTAAAGTGTATCGATAATTAGCTGATAAATAAAAATGACAAAAAATGGTGAAAGAAAGCAAAAAATACGAAAGATTTTAACAAGATGATATATAAGTGTACACAGTCTCACATGAAATGATGATGGATAAACAATAGAATATTACAAGTTATGACGAAACTGTTGACTGTATTCATTAAACCTACCTAGAGCCCTTAAATCGATTTATTATGGCTTTCAATGTAGAAGATGATTACCGTAATGTAAACATCATCAACTATATGAAGTAGGAACCAAGTTGAAGTGGTCAGTATCCGACGCAACATTTCAGAACAAAACATATTAGCGGATTAGCGACACTCATATATGTAAAGACATTCCGTGCAGTTTAAAGGACTTTATAGCGAAAGATTAACCCAATATTCGCACATTAATTATTGAAGCTGAAATATTCAATGCCTTCTTTGACAAGTAGCATACTATAGGAAAAAAATCGTTATTTTAAAGAATATCTGATCCGCTCATAATGCGTATAGTGTATATGGAATACATTTTCATCAATAGTTAGTACTGCACTTTACAGAAGCAGCATCTGTGTCCCTTTCGAATCCATCAAATCGACTGTAGTCAAGTTTCCGAAGATTTTTTTTAACTAAATTTTAATGTGCATAATCGAAGACGATCTTGCTGGTTTATTCTTATTAATATTAGTTATTAAGGACGACCTAACTTTAGTTTTTTTCCGTTTGGCTTAAGGCTCATTTGTGTGGATTGACTAATCATTACCCTGTTCGTCTACTCACGTTAATACCCATCTATCGATCAACGATATTTGAAGTATCTGATATGATATACGACATCCGATTAGATCCAGTGTGCAACACTATCATTAGTTGGATCTAGAAAAAAAAAAATAAAACTTATCGACATTTTTTTGGAAACCCAAAGGGCGCAGCAACTCAATACATAAAGTGACCCTTTTCGAACACACATAGACTTCTTGTTGAATCACACTGCCAATATTATAATTCGTGAGCTAATAAGGTATGTCATGCTTAGCTTCGATGTTACTCCCAAATATGTCTCTTACGGTGAAAATCAAAAATTTATTTCGCAACAAAAATAGAAGACACTTTTAACACATACCTAAAACAACAGTAAAACAATCATACCATTATTTTTTCAAAGAAGCAGGTTTCTTGCGTTTCAAAACGCCGCATCAATTTCCCAACAAATAAAGCATATATAAAAAAAAAAAAGTAAGAAAGTATCTCCCAGGCAATTTGAACTGTTAGAATTTACCGCGTGTAAAATGCTAGAATTTACTTTTTATTCTTTCACTAAAAGATATTTGTATATAGGCTATAAGTGGACCTCTTATACATCTAATACAAATGTCTGCCCACTAACAGAATCGCTAGAACATCAAACGTCCCTATCGGTACACCTCGAGTCTTGTGAAAGAAAGACATGCGGTACGTTGGTTTATACTTCTACATAGATATATAACAGCGTATGCATTTATTTTGTCAAGTCAGTAAAAGCCTACAGTAATACTTTATTTATCAATCGTGCATTATACTCTTTTAATCGTTTTGTCTTTGACATGAATCTTCTGTCCGGCATAATGATGAATCCAGTTCCTAACATTTTATTCTAGCCATTACATTTATAACACTAACAATAATAGAATTAAACGGAAAATAATTTCATAGCCCTTAGATACGAAAGGCTGCGATGGGAGAGCCTAAGTGCAAGTAAGAGATATGGTTTTGAGCGAAAAAATAATGGAGTCGTTAAAAATAACGTGAGAAGCTTGTTCTGTCATATAGACAGGCTCCTGACGTTGATCCCTCTATAATTTGGAAATTTGGTTGTTTTAATAATTTTATTACCATAGACGAATAAAGATCATAAATTCTTATACCAGCATAATTACATTTGGTATTGCACATGTGCACGGGCGTTACCTTAAGCCCGTTTTCTAAAACAATATCAGTATTTTTTGTGTGCTCTGTGTCGATAAACGTTTACCAGAAATACGTTGTACCTTAACGATATATCACAATCACATACTGAACGTATATTTCACATACGCGGGCTTAATTCAGAAAGCCTAAGTACACTAAATAAGGCTAGAAGCAACTCAACCATTCACGTGCGCACGCACTGCTCTTCAAAGTTTCTTCGATCCTTTTCACGTTCGACTTCGTACGAACAACCTTCAGTACTGGTAATACTCGCAGGTTCCAACTAAGAAACGCTGAGACGAACTGAGGAGCGTCGAAATGTCTTCGTTATGCCCCATTGCATCCACCTTTTCAGAACAGTAGATCTTGATCGTGTTCGTCTTCAAGCATATTGGGCACTTCGTCCACATTGAATCCCTGTGCTTTCAACAAGGCTAACTGCTTCTCGTGTCTTTCCTTGGCTGCTTTTTTTTTTTCCTAATAAACATGGCCAAATTTACAACAATCAGGTTTAAAAGTCGTATTAGAAGGCTTGTTTAACTTCATAAAGACGGAAAGGATATTTTCAACTACTTACTAAATGACGCTTAGGGCAGGGACCAAGGATGACAAGTGAATCGCCTAACGGGTTGTAGTATGTTTTAGTTAACATCCTAGATTCGTAATTAACATGTTTATAGTCATACTCAGACATATTAAATTTATCATTGCCGGGTCTATTCAATAGAACTGGATTTAGACGATACCAATGAAAAACATTCTGTGTAAAGATTAATCCACATTCGGCAGCTCCGTAAAACCAAACTAAGAATACGCTCCGAAGAAAATGCCGGAGTCTTTCTTACTTGAATTTTCTTCAGACGAAAGAACTCTTCCCTCTCCCGTTCATCCAGTTCTGAATTAATGTAAGCAATTGTTCGCTCGAACCTATCACGACACAAAACACAGAAAAGAATGAGATATATGCTTATTGGTTTGCATTGACCCATGGTCAAATAATCGATATTCGCATTGTACATTAGTCAGCGATAAATATGCCGTATACGGAAGCAAGGATGTATTTCAAGGAAGAGATTCGTGTTATATAAAGTAGATCTTCCATCTCCGTTTACCTCGGGATAATGACGTGCTCGATGGCATTCACTCTCCTGTTGGTAATTTTAATGGCTTCGTCAAGCACAATGAACGAGGTCTGCAGAGAAGCGAGATTAACAAGCAGCTCAACCGCCTACATACGTACAGACGGGCAGACGGTAAAAGTATTGTTAACAAATATATCCAATAACCATTACGAACTCATTATAATACATCAATGGATGAATTATTATTTCTAAGAATTAGGCAAAAAAAATGCGTAGTTTTATATTAGGAACCACGTCATAATATATAGTGTCTAAATAGGCCATAGTAATAATAAAGCAGTACACTACCTTAACGGTAGCACATTCGAACTATACCTCATTCAAATACAGAGTCCATATCGCTCATGCCATTTTTAAAAATTCAAGAAGATCATAAGACTCATCGCAAATCTCTTTCCTTCCTTAACCCATTTTACCTTAGCATAGTACTGTTTCATAGAAGTCAGTTTCTGACCTCCACGTCCGAGTCCGATATGTTCGTTAGCGTCTTTGCCGTCCTGATATAGTTCGAATACTGGAATATTTACTCCGGCAACGTTGTCCTTTTTGTCACGAACCTATATTTATTACAAACGGGTATTAATTTAATCGAGAGTAAACCGTGTTTGATGACCAGGGCGACTTAAAATACACTTAGCTGCAGAAGACTTAGTAAATTCGACAATCTGTGTAAGCTAGCCCTAGAAACATGACTTGCCACGAACGCGGCCATAAATCTGTCCTTCTGGCATGCAAAGGAAACTGTATTTACGATTGTCTAATTTCGGGTGAAAATACCTTCAGTGGAATCAGTATTTTCTTCTATTATTGAAATTTCAAACATATTTCAGAACATCCTATAATTACAGCCGATTGTTCAGAGTAAACGTAGTTTATTCTAAATAAGGACATGTCTACTCACTTTCAGTTGTGCCTTAGTGATTTTTTGAAGCACCTCCTGCTTAAATTCGCCAGTGACAAATTTAGCTTCCGTTAAAGAGAAAGCAGCCTCTTTCATCATTTCACCCATCAGCTCCTTTGTTTCAACGATTTTCTTCAGGATCGTTCGGAACCTAATTAATCACGAAATAAGGTAATTATAAGGTTTAGCCTTACGTATAGATGCATTTTATTAAAGATTTCAACCGCGTTGCTAATAATATTTATCAAATTAATAAGCAGAGCCGTACATTAGAGTAGCGTATCCATATGTCAAATTCGACCTGTTCATTGAAGCTTGTCTACTCAGGTAGGTAAAGGTGTAAAATGAATTGCAGTAGATTTCTATTACAGATAGAGGTAGTCAAGGTATATTCCAGTGCGAAGGCGCACACTTAATAGATCACTTGCAATACATAATGCTTTAACCATGTAATAAATATTTAAAGTGTAAAGTATCGCTCGTATCGATTTTTGGTGGCTATTAAGTCACCAAAATAATCACCTAATCTGAAGGGCGTCGGCCTTCTTCTTCAATAGCGAGTGTCCTTTTTGAGCTCCCTTCAGACGACTTTTCATCAATGTAAGGGCCATACGTGACGGGAAGATCGCAATTTTGTCGTTGTTAGTCGACATCGCGTTTGGTTTTGATATCTGAAAAAAAATGAAGACAGATAGAGTAATTCCTTTTTAGTTTAAAAGATGACTGGGTTTTAATTAATGTCCAAGTAGAAGAAGCGCGGCATGGACCACAAAAACTATATTTTTTCATGAATTGTAAGCGGAATAGCTGTTGGACCAGTAAAACCAGGATACACGCTTTGAGTGAACGTATGAAAAGCTTTTATTTTGTTCAATAAAATCAAAATATAAACAGTCAATAAAAAAAACTTCCAATGCTTGTGTCATCATGGGCTTGTACACGTTGATCGGCTGATCTATGCCGCTTTTATTAGTTAACACTGCCGTCCATATGCTCATATGAGGAACAAGTAACTGTAAACACATTTTGCACCGATTACTCCAAGTTCACGCGACTGTCCTTTGCGTTGTAAGGTAATATTCTACTTTTCCTTAGGATCTCTTTTATATGATTTTTGAATATGACCGTTACATTTTAGCAAACTACTAAAAACTGTTAAACATTTTTCAGTTTAAGAGATTAGTGGAGGGTTATATCAGGCACAAAGTTTGGATTTAAATAATCTGGATAATGATCATATCATCTTACACGTTTGCGGATCGTAAGTTCTTCCTTAAAAATTGCCGATTTATATTTCACAATGCGTAGATTATTAATACAAAATTGCTACTAGACAGTTTCAGAGGGATATCGGTTACCCAAGGAGGCCAGGGTGTGCACTTAATGAGATGACACAGAGTCGGCATCTTAAATTTGAACAACATGAGTTTTCCATAGATGATTTGCATTCAATCACCAGATTATACTAAGAAAGAGCCATGGGCACTTGATAGTTTTAATTAGCTAATCAATTACTATGCACTACACGTTTCGTTTCTTTGACATTAATGAACAGCTCTGCATTTGTGCCCCAGTATCACCAAACTGAGTGAGATACTTGAATTTATGTACAACGGAGTGTCGTACGCATTCTCAGCAAAAAAAAATAAAAAAAAATCAGCCATTATCAACACAGAATTATCGAAGATTGATTTCATGAGAATTCTAAAGAATCCTTTTTCGCGCCGTATTTCACCTATAATTCGCACGTACCTCGTGTCAAACAAATAAGTTCGTCTAATCTTCCCTGATTTCGCTCACAAACCTTTGCCGCTCTGGACTACGAACCGAACATTCCAGTTCTCAGTAACTGCCACCCTACTCAAACAGTTGACTCTCGGCTGCTGTCATGGGACCTTGAAAGCGCAGAGGTATCACATGATGACCATCAAACCCAGCCACTCATCCAAAATAAAGTGTATCTTCGGAAATACCCTTCTAATGAGCTTGCTCCGTTCTATGATTTGTTGGTGACCATTGAGGGCGTTACCCATCTAAATCGACACTTAAGTGTTCATAACGTCAGGTATGAGATGTCGGGGCCTGGTAGGCTGTTGCGCGGTGAAAACAAAAGGGTCATACGTTAGCTGATCGTAGAAAGTGAACATTTCTGACATTTTGGATAAACATTTTTACTGTGCAGAAAAAAAAATTCAAAGCAGTTGAGTCTGTCAGTTTTAGATAAGTGTATTTTTTCACACGACCTGGTTGACCTACCGTATGGTTGCATTGTCGATTATTTTTTTGATTCTGTAGAAGACAAAAACGCTTTTTGCGGAAACGGCCGGTGTTTTCAGGTAAACGAATATGTCGCTATAACTACCGTTTATCGCACTGACCCTTATAGGACATGTTATGAACAATATAACTAGGTATTGGAATGTGTCAGATTGAATATAAAAGTCGGTTGAGAACACAGCTTCCTTACTAGTCGAAACTATGTGAACCGGTTAACCCTAATGTAGATTCTATAAGACTAACGTTATTAAATAACGAGTTAACTAATTGAAGACAAATTTTGACATATATGATGTATAATTACGGTCATGGTGCACGAAGAACTGCGAAAAAAACATTTCCTCCGTAGGGATGACAACACATAAAAGACTGATATAGCAGGGAACGACAACCGTTTATAGATTTTTGCGTCGGGTCTTTTTGAGACTCGAAACGTTTAATGTTCTTCTCGGTCTCCAGTTTATTAGAACGCCGTGGTATGAATCCTCATTTTCATTTCAATAACAGCAGACGATTTTGTATCGTGGAAAGGGCAGATCGGTCGGAACCGACCTGATATTCACGAAGTCAGTTTCGAACAGGCGAACCGCACACTTGTCGTTGACAGACTTAAAAACAAGTTCGTCCATAAATAACCGATTTTATGTCATGCAGTATCATTTAAAAGTCTTTGAATACATCGTATGACAGAATAGTCAACTAATACTTGACTCTCTAAAAAGGGAATGTACTAAGGCGTACAGGCATTTTCGCGCGGCGTCATGATCCAAGTCCGCGACGACTCGGATGATGGCTCAGATTTTGAAACCGGTGCGTAAAGTTCATTATCGAAGATAGCACAACAGGGGCGTTTTATTCAACTTTATATTTCTTTATATTTATTTATTTTTTTTTATTTTTAAATTATAAATAGTATATCTTTATCCAAGAGCAAAAATGCATATATAAATCATATAGAATTTGAATTGCTTCAGTATAGTAATTATTTGAAAAACCCGGTAGGGTTCTTAATATAGGGTTCCTATAGGGAAAAATATTTTTATCCTTCCGTTTTTCCATTATTTCATATATATGATAACTTGATTCAAACGCATTATGTATGCTTATGTATATTTAAAATTTTTTAAACTCTATCTGTCATTATTAAACATTGAAGAGCTATGAAGAAAGAAAGATGTATCTATGCATTTTTATTTTCTATGCTCACATTATAATACTGATGTATATTATATTAGTGTATAGAGCTAACAAAAAAGTCAACTACACGCGATTTCAAAAAACAAGTATACAAAATGTAACGCAGCTCTTTATCCATTATGCTTTATAAGAAGTAACGAAGGATTTTATTAAACATATATACACGTGATGTTGTATTACTTTATTGTAAGTATATCCAGAATATATATTATCTTGTTCCCTTATATCAACTAGCAGCTAATAAACAGAACCTATATTGTACCTATTTCGATAACTTTTGCAGCTCCACCAGCGGAATACAAGGGAAATGTGTTTGACCAGGCGCTCACAGCAGCTGAATTCAATGACACGGAACACCTGAAAAAATTAATAGCGCAGGAGCCAGCTGTCGTGTGCGCCCGAGATTCAGACCGGTACACCCCCCTTCATCGCGCCAGCTATAGTGGGCATCTAGAAAGTGTTAAAGTAAGTAAATAGTTGCTTCTGTAAACTACCACATTGGAGTAACTGACATAAGAGCGTCCTTGAGTACGAAAAGCAGGTTCGATAGCATGCAGATAAAAAAAACGGGCAATAAAACTAAAGGCTTTCTTTTTCTGTGCTGCCTGGGTAACGTCTTTATTTTGATTACAGGTCTCTTGCATTTATTTTCATATCGTATTTTCATATATGACGCTAATAGCTATAACGTCTTCTCTACCCGCTTCTAGTTGCTCTTAGATAACGGTGCTGACCACAAGGCGTGTACTCTTGAGGGATGGCAACCGCTACACTGTGCCGCTAGATGGGGTAACTACGAGATTGCCCACGCTCTTATTGCTGCCGGAGCCGATATCAACGCAACTTCGAATGGAGGCATGACCCCGTTGCATCTCGCTGCAAATGAAAAGTACGTGGGGTATCGGGTAAATTTTTTTCGGGTAAAATTATCCATTTACGTAAGAGACTGTCTCCCTTACGATATTCAGGTTAAATTGGGGCTCGATTCTGTATGTTCTGATAGTCAAATGCCAATTCGATTGAACTTTTTTCAATCTATAAAATAATATGCGGCGGCTTCAGGTTATCAGTATGACTTCTATACTTTTATATTATTGTTTTATCGAAAAAGTATCCTATAAAAAATGTATATAAATTTAAGACAAATGAGAATCAACATTATTTGGCGTCTTGTTTCAGGAACGGTCGTAAGACAGTAGAGCTTCTGCTATGGCAGAGTTCGATAGACGCGCAAAAGGCAAACCGCGCTGGCGACCTGCCAAAATTTCTCGCCAGGAGAAAGGGAAACTTTAGTGAGCTATTTGAAATGGTCGAACCATCAGTCAGTTCTTTACACTTGGAAGTGGTTAAACGATGTGATAATAGAGAGTAGCCTTTTGGATTATGCAATTAAATATAATTTCAAATCTGTATTATAATGAGAAGAAATCTGTATAATATGTACCAGTAGTACAATCGCACAACTTTAATAAACCGTATATTTGTACAAAATGTATCCTTAATCATATGAATGATAGAGCTGTGTATTCTAAACTCCTAATTTAAAATTTGCTATGCATAGTTTACAACTGTATCTATTCTAAACAGCGTCAAAGAACATATTTTTCCTTGAGCTTGTTTTTTTTCAAGATTTGATCTTTTTCACGTTCACATTTTAGATGGTTTGTCTTTTCCATCGGAGACTTTTTAGCTGCCTATTACTGGTAAACTTCTACATGAGACTGCTTAAAGTGGATTCCTACTTATAAATAAACTACCCAAATATTATCAGACCGGATGGCAAGAGATTTTTCCCTTGTGTAGTCCGTCGAAAGCTGGGCACTTAAAAATCCTCATAACTCTTAGCCATATCTAAAATGAAATAGAACTTCATATATGTCTAGCAAGGAGCTGTTGCTTTTGGTGTATCTTTCCATCTTAAAGTATGCAATTACTATTTGAACACAGTGAACAGACGTGCGTTAAGTTACTATTATTCAAATCCACGAATTACATGTGAAGTCCATGTGCTACTATCCGGAAATCCAAGGTTCGATCCCAGCTGAAGCTTAATTGGGCTCAAACCCTTAATTCTCATTTCGACTGTAAGACCCAAGTTCATAATTTCGGTTCATGTACAATTACGTTTCATTAATATGGATATCATTCTTCTCCACGCGTAATATACGCAAAATCGCTTTTTTTGTCAAGGTATTTACTTGCTCATCGTGGGGCATCGGCAACGAGAAGTTACATCCCTTTCAAATAAGAACGGCTTTATGTAGTTGAGATCAAATAACTTCAGTTGCGTCATGTTTTTTTTTTTATAAAAGATTGAAATATTTCTACACCAATATGCACGCCAAAAAAGTTTTGTTGTGGCTTAGGAATTAGATACTACATCAGATCTAAAACGCAATCTAATGTGAGATCTAAATGTATATAACCTAAGAAGTAATATATTCAGATAATCTTCTTTTAATAGCAAACCACAATTTGAGTACCACTCTCAAATGAAAGAATGTATATACTTTTTCAGTCTGACTGATCACAGCCTGCCTAGCCTAATCCCAACGATTACCTTTGTTATGAGGATCGTTGTGGTCGAACTGAGAGATGACCGGAGCTTTACGTATCGTTGAAGTAACTGGTATGCAATAAAAAGTAGAATATGTGTGTGTTGCTGATGTATAATAGATGGTATAGTTTTGATCATCGTTCATTTATTTTAACCTATTATTGATGAATTATGTTCTCGGTAGCTATACAATAAAGAAAAAAATAATCCTGAGAATTTGAAGTCTTCTCATTTATGCTTCAGATACGCAACACAAAACATTAGTGTTTACAAGATATTTAGACAGAAATAGTTATACTACGCGTTTCCGACATTGCTTTCAATTGATTACACAGATCACTGATTTCCGCGTTTTGCATATAAGTCATTTGCGGTTTCGTGAATCTTCTTAATTGACGCTAGGTCATCGGGGTAACTCCGTATTGCCACCGTCATAGTCGATACGCTATCCTGGAGCCTTGTCACCTCCTCGTTCTGTTGAAGAAATTGCGATTTACGGGAGCATGTTAAAATATTTTATAATAGAAAACCATGCAAAAAACTGCAGACGATAGAAATATAATAACAAAGCAGGTAAAACTATATTATAAAAATTAACTTGCACACATCAAAGGCTGAAATACAATTTAGGGAAACCGCAAGAAGTTTCTATAATTCATTCATATCTTTATTTTTCTTACAAAAGTATTACTCTACTACTATCTTACAACTGTTATCCTGCTCTAAATGCTGCTCGTATTTTTTATACCGTTATAATCAGATAAACATTACTTCATCACTGATTCGGTTATTGTTACTCCTCGACTAAAATAGAAGCCAGCCTTTTCCGACACTAAGTACTATTAGCTATTATTCTAAATGCTTATATCTCGGATCCTGTTTAGTAGTAGAATCCTTTTTTACGCTCTAACGTAGGCTTTATTCTGCTACAGATATGCCCTATTTTTTTTCGTAGCGTTATAAAATCTAAGATTTTTCGTTATTGCTACTACTTTTGTAACTTTGACTATGTTCATAACTTACTAGCCTTCTCCTTTCAGCCTCCAAAATATCAGCAACCGCTTCCGGCCTATCGCTATAAGCTGCAGTGAGCAGTATCGTCAAAAGATTCGTCGCTTCGTCGATCAATGAGCGACTCTACACAATGCAATGAGTTCAAACCAAAGAAAGTTATTACCATTCAATATTTACTAATGTTGCTGGGGCACTGAGAGAGTCATGCTATTCAAATTTGCTGTGCTTTCATTTAGTACCTTAAAGGTTTGTTGGATAAAACTATATAGATTTAATTCAGCACCCTAGTGATTTGAGAACTTTATGAAGCAAGATAGTCTCAGAATTTAAAGGTTATATATATTTGATACTTTTTTTGTTGCCATGGCGCTCAGTAATTGTCTCCAGAAGCATTAGACCTTATCGCTAGAGGATTCGCCGCCATTAATAAGAACGTCCCTAAGTTTACTGAAAACTTTCACATTCGCTTCACATATTAATTATACTTTGAAACCTTCATTATTGACCGAGCACTGATAGGTTCGACTCGATAAACAATGGGCAACTTTTTGCAGTTCTTACCATTCGAAGCCGGTTTTCCATCAGTCTGTTTTTGATACCCATATGTACGATTCTTGTTAGGCAGAAATCCAGCGAACGGTTTACACAAACACTGCTATATCTAAATTAAAAATATTGGTTTTGCGACTTGGTTTCAATGCAAGCACCAGATGCTTATTTCATTAAAGAGGTTTGCAAAGCACTAATTATGATTGAATTCTTGATTTCACGTTTGTTGTGTCACATCTAAATAGCGTAGGCGATGCGTTGAGCTACTCTATCTCGGTTTAGAATACGTCTCAGAACACTTTTTTAAAGCACAACCTTATCGTTACGTTTGTAACCCGCAGTCAACTTATTTGAATTACCGTGTAGCGCGCAACTTGATCGTCTGCTTTATGGGTAGACGAAAATATGGTAAATAAATAGATTGAATCTCAAAACCAGTTACTTAAGGACTTTCACGGAGATCACGAAAACGACGCTAAAATAATAGGCGGTTTTCTCGTTCCGTTTGAAACTCAAAAGAAATTACATGTAATACATTTTTGGGCAATATACGAGTTAATGTCTATTCGTGAGTTATCAAAAAAGAAAAGATTATTATTAACATTCTGTATCGGATATTACGAAATTTTTGTTATTATGTTGTGCACATTACTCTGTGATTCAAAAAATAAATATGAACCTCCTTGATAACAGTTCCCCCGTAAAACAGTAATTATCATGTTTCCATGTCTTTAAATTCATATAGAATTACAAAACTGCAAAGGCCTAAAATATTGTTAATTTCACGTCTTCTACCTCTTGGAAAATTGGTTTCTACAAGGCATCTATAACTTATAGAACCACTACTTAAACCTATAAAATTATCCGATATTTTTATTTAACTTACCTGTTGGTAATTACCATTTTGACAATTAAAAATTGGGTAAACTTGAGATATTATAAATATATATAATAAATAAATACCAGCTCACCATACACGTCGTCAAGGGAAAAAGATTTCTTACCGTAGGGCAGTTTTCGATGCCATTGTTCAAACGCACAGAGGCGTGCAGAATTCAGTAGATAACTAGCGTCTACATATACATTTATACTTGGCTGTCTCCTTGTGGTAGTTGTAAAAGTAAGTTTGCATTCTGTTTAAGAGCCATTAGCTCAATATAAACTCAAGATGTACCATTAAAGCTAACGAAGTCATAGAAAGTATGAAATTTTGGACAAAGCTTTTTTGTGGCCATTTGTAGGGACACAACGTCTGTTATCGTTGGTAGCTATAGATACTTGCTTAGTCAGTAATAACGAGTCGGACCTCACATTTTGTAACCTAAACCTTGAAGCGATTCGATGTATCTGCTTAAAACGGCGGTTCTACATTTCTTATTTAGCTAATTTTCTTTAAGCAATAGCCCTTGTGCCTTCAATTCACTATACTTAGTCAAGATGCAAGGTTAAACTATACAAAACTGTCCGGATAATCTTATGTTATTTAATTTAATTCGGTACTAATGAGTCATGCGTAGCTGGTGAAATTTAAGAAAAACCCTCATTTCATGAAGTGTTTTCTCCAAAGATTAAGTTTCAAAATTATCGCATTCTTTGCGTTACCTACTATCGAGGTACGTTTTTCGAATGAGTAATCTATAATACTGATAAATAACCCCAATTTTCTAAAAACACAAATACATAGTCTGCTGAGCGGATGTTTATTGTACTTGTTTTTACCGCCCACAGCTAGTACGGATAGCCGTCTGCCTATAACCTGCATTTTCTAAGCAGTTGTTTATGCCCAGTTGGTGCGTCATCATCGTATTGTTAAGATGTTTTGCCAGCTTACACATCAACATCAAACATCGACCAGCCATTTCGTGTGTTGTTTTGGTGCCGCTAGAGGCTCGTTAGTTGCGGCACCACTCAGCAGATTAAAAAGTAGCACCCGGCGCCAGTAACTGCTACTTAGAAAAGTTTTTGTTGCTCTGTCCCAGTGATCATTTATTTGTGGATTGGGTGTTGGTAAAAAAATCACAACAAAAGTTAATTTGCTTGTAAGTAAAGTAAATATGGAAGAGAAACGAAAGCGTTGCCAGCCCTCCTGGAAGCTTCCGGCAGGTACTACGCTCGGCTTGAAGCTGTACAATTCGTTGACACGACAGAAGGAACCCTTTGTCCCGCAAAAAGGCCAGCGCATCACATGGTACAACTGCGGTCCGACAGTGTACGATGCCGCCCATATGGGTCACGCCCGTTCATATATTTCGTTTGATATTCTCCGTCGGGTTCTGCAATATTACTTTGGTTACGATATATTTTTTGTAATGAATATCACTGATATCGACGATAAAATTATTAAACGAGCGCGGCAGAACCATTTGTTCGAGGAGTATCGACAGTCTAATCCTAAGAATTTTGTCAAAGATGGCAAAGAGGCCGTGGAGCGATACCGCGAAAAGCTAGCCAAGGAAGAAGATAAAGGTAAAAGCGCCATGCTTGAAAGGTGCGTACGATGTAGTGTGCTAAATTAGACAGATAATACTCAATTCGAGAAAATGAACTGGACCCAGTAGCAGTTGTGTGTAGCCTTTCCCGTATAGTGAGCGACGGTGGTGCCATCCATCTTGTCGGATCAATTGTGTTCTAACACGATAATGTTCGAAGAGTTACGAGCCCCGCGATACATGCATTCGATTGCAGTTGTTCCTGTTTCGCGTCCCGACACACGTGTCGAAACTATTTCTTATAGTTTTACTTTCTTAGTGAAGACTATAATGATATTTGAGTGACAGTCCTTAACTAAGCAAAGCAGGTCGCTTATAGTGTTGACCGCAAATTGTTTGCTCCTCTTTAAGTGTTGCGTAAAGTTTGTAAAAAAACGTATATGCCACGTTTCAAATAATTATAAAATTAGACAAAATATATAAATTTTGAAAATTACACTACTTTTGTTAATGTTAGCGGAATGAGAAAATATTTCTAAATTTTACTTATTTTTACTAGTACATTGACGCTATATTCGTTTCCAATAATTGACTCATATATTCCTAATACATGACTAGGATTGAAAAATCATCATTGAAAAATCAAATACTAAAATATTAGCTATTACATTTCTTAGGCTTGTCGAGCAGGCGGATGCGGCACTGGCTTGCCCAACAGATGAAGCACGATTATGGGAAGCCCTTAAAGACCCTTTGTCAGACTGGTTGGATTCGCAGAAGGGATCATCAGTTACGGATCATTCCATCTTTAACAAATTATCCCGCTTTTGGGAAGAGGAATATTTCTCCGATATGAAAGCGTTAAATGTATTACCTTCTGACGTCGTTACTCGAGTATCGGAGTACGTACCTGAAATCATTCAATTTGTGGAAAAGATTATCACTCAGGGTTTAGCTTACGAAAGTCAAGGATCTGTCTACTTCGACACGATCAAGTTCGATCAATGTGACAACCACTTTTATGCCAAACTTGTGCCTGAAGCCTTCGGAGACGATAAAGCACTTCAAGAGGGCGAGGGCGACCTAAGCCAAGGCTGTGGGAAGCGGAACAACTCGGATTTCGCACTATGGAAAGCCTCGAAACCCGGAGAGCCAGCCTGGGATTCACCATGGGGCAGGGGCCGACCTGGCTGGCATATCGAGTGCTCCGTCATGGCGTCCGAATTGCTTGGCGAGTGTATCGACATTCACTCGGGCGGATACGACCTCAAGTTCCCGCACCATGATAATGAAATAGCACAATCGGAGGCCTATTTTAATAACGATAATTGGGTACGATATTTCCTACATTCCGGACATCTGACCATCTCAGGCTGCAAGATGTCCAAATCGTTGAAGAATTTCATTACGATCAAAGATGCTCTTCGGAAGAACACCGCACGTCAGTTGCGGCTAGCCTTTCTATTGCATCAGTGGAAGGATACTTTAGACTACAGTGACAACACGATGGAGATTGCCATGCAGTACGAGAAGATTTTTAATGAGTTCTTCCTTTCGGTAAAGGATACGCTGCGAACAACAGGTGCGTCTGCAACGGAGTCCCTGCGAAAGTGGAATACTGAAGAAATGAAATTAAACGATATGTTCCAAAACACCAGATCCTCAGTTCATGCGGCCCTGTGCGATAACATTGACACCAGGTCGGCCCTTGACGCCCTTCGAGAGTCAGTATCTGCTGTCAACGTTTATATACGAGAGATGAATACTGCCAAGCGGACGTTAAACACTGTCCTCCTCAAGAATATCGCCGTGTATGTTACGCATATATTGCGCGTGTTCGGTGCCATCGAAACGTCTGACGAAATCGGATTCCCCGCCATTGGCGGCGTAGGGAATACCAGTATTGAAGCAATCGTCACGCCATTTTTGACTGTGCTATCGAATTTTCGTACCGAAGTTCGCACCCAAGCGCGTAAAACGAAACAGGCTGATATTCTCAAAATATGTGACCTCCTTCGAGACGAAGTGCTGCCTGAGCTTGGTGTCCGCCTCGAAGATCACGAAGGTCAACGAACCATTGTTAAGCTGAGTGACCGTGAAACACTGATGCGTGAAAAAGAGGCAAAGCTAAAGATTGAAGAGAAAAAAAGACTGGAAAAAGAAGCTAAAAAGAAAGAACAAGAGATGGTAGCGGCCGAGAAGGAGCTGCTACGAAAAGTGCCTCCTCAGGATTTGTTTAAAAGGGAAATGGACAAGTACAGTGTTTTTGATGAGTCGGGCATACCAGTATTGGACGTCGAAGGCAAGGAAGTTAGCAAAGGATTGCAGAAGAAGCTTAAAAAGCTCCAACAAGCGCATGAAAAGAAATATCAGGAATTTTTGACTGAGCAGGAAAGCTACAACTGATTGCGATTGTTAGAAACTGTTGGCACACACAAACCTTATTATTAAAAATTTACAAAAATAGTGATTACTTGTATGAACGAGCTATTTTGTAACATGTAGGACAAATGTGTAAACTTCTCCTTGATGACGTTAATTTATGAAATACAAATTACTATTTATTCATAATTTCATTCATAATTCAAGTCTTCATTATTAAATGGGTGTGTAAAGTAGGGTTTGGCTGCATTTAGTAATTTTTTTAATTAGCGGAATGGTCACAAACCTACACGCATGATACATTTGGTACACAAGAAAAAAGCAGAAAAAAATCCACACATATGAAGTTCAATAAATTTTGGTAATTTATTATTACTAGATCTATATTTGTAGTGTCATTCCCTTAATAAAAATATACATCACCTGACCATACATACAATCACTGCCTTGTTGCATCTCAAATTGTCCGCAAAAGAACTGGTGGCGAAATAACCTACAGAAAAATACTTTATATATATAAGACTATAAGTCATATATAAGATTACAGAGTTCGCGGTCGTAGTTCTTCTCTGCCTCTTCTCAAATTATCTTCCGTCGGCGAGCTCCGACGGTTCCCCAAGGAAAAGCCTCTTGCGCGTAGTATTCATGAAAGGCTTAAAACTCCATTCGGAATCAAGAGCTGCTGCTTCATCGATAGATCCTAACTTTATATCGTATAGTTTCAGCTCAAAACGCGGTCCGACCTCTTGCAGTTCCACCTGCCCATTTATCGATGAATACGTGTGATGCCTGGAAAAATGATGATCAATATTACGTTTCTGACTGAGAGGGTATACTAAATCAATTCGTGTAACCTGAACGTGTGTCGGAGGAATGGAATGGTATCTCTCCTCCGATTCCAATGAACTAAGTTGAGCCAAATCCCTGCCACCTTCGTTAAGCTTTTGCTGTGCCTGACTACCTAATGATTGCGCACTGGTAATTTTTTTTGTAATATTATTAACTGAAAGTGTTATGTGATGTCGAAATCTGTTCTAATTTTACCTAAATAGAATGTAGTCGTCGACGTTAGCAAATGTAATGACTCTTTTCGAATCCTGCTTTGGAACGGGAAAGAGGTATTTTAGAATGGATTCCACGCGCTTGCCGAGTTTCGTAGTAAAGTTGTTGAACAGAAGATGAGGATACGCCTCGGATATTGTGCCAATATCAGGAATTTCGTGCCTGAAACGATTTAATCATGAAGGCACTTAAAAACAGCTTTTTACTAACGAACGAATCCTTTTATAGCTACACGTGAGGTTAAGGAAAATTATTTGGGGCTTGAGACCGACAGATTAGCGTGATCTATGAACTGTCAGATAACGCAGATTATACAATAACTATTATAGAATTACCTCATTATTGCATTGTAGATCGTAAAATATGCAGTAGGCCCATAAGGTAAATGACAGATAACAAGGCCATCAGGTCTTCCCCGAGTCTCCTGTACGATGATAAAGTCAGTCACTTCATTGGCGCGACATGCTGTAACCAATTCCTTAAGGTCATACGTTCCTGTAATAAAAAAATATTTGAGATTTGACACGATTGTCCTAAACGTAATTACCTCCAAATTTCAGGATATAGACGACAATATCGTATGATAAATAATTGTTAATCGGTCTGTAATTAATAGTGTTCAGATCGCAATGCTTTCAGGATGCTCCTATTGTAACCTTGATTCATCGATCTTTTAAAAAGATCGATGAATGAAGAAGACAAACCTAAGGTACAATTTTTGTTAAATAATTTTAGTAATAAATGTAGCTCGAAATTAAGGTTTAAAACTGCGGAGCGGCTGTTTATGCTTTTATCGAACATAACATACCTCGATTCATTTTTTGCGCGTTTGGGAATATCAATTTGAGCTCTTTAGCAAATTGTTTCAATGAAGCGGAGGGATCGTGAGTAGTCGTTATCACAATCTTTGGGTCCGTGACACCAGCCCAGCGGTATTCGTCATCTTCTGCATTGTGCGAGAATGGCTGAAATTACAAAAATAAAACAACATGATCGTTAAGCTTTTCTTTAAAGATAAACAATGTTCAAAGTGAATTCCGAAAACGCCAACAGAAAGTCTATAGTACATAATTCAGCAATCCATAATTTGGTAAATTCCACTATAATTGCTTGTATTTCTATATTGCTAGTGGACTTGTTGTGGCACAGAAGTAGCGAACATTTTTAGTCAAAACAAATATTGATAAATAGGTGTTACACTAAAGTACCGTTGCTAGGTCCCATTCCAGCGATTCGTGTAACTTAAGCGCTTCATTGCGCAGTTCAGTTGGCAACGGGCGGTTCCCTTCGACAGCTGTGCGTAGCTTTTCTTTTTTGGCTTCGATTCTTTTGCGTTTGTCGTCGACGGTTTTATTGTACAGATATTCGCGCCGTTCACGAGCGTACCGGCGCAACATCTTCGATTGCTTTAGAGGCCTGCAAGCAATTCATCCATCACAAACTGGAAGTTCAATATTATAATGAAAATAATTGTTTTTGGGTTTTCGCGGTAACTTATTTATCAACGTTGAAAACAATTGAGGACAACTGTTAAAATATGGATTTATTGGGTTAAAATACTAAATAACTTTATTATAGGTTGGATAAAGGGAAATGACAGTATTATGTATGTGTGTGATATTCGGAGCAAATACAAGTGTTCTCGGACGTAATTATGTTTACATGTGTCTTTTCATTGCGTTTATCCTTATGCACTTGCTTATATTTAAAAGCATTATCTAAATATTTGCTATTACAAAAAATAAACGTATTTTTTAAAAGAATGTGTGACTATGAAAATCAATCACTGTCGGGGTAATTGATGAACGCGCGCCTTACTGTGCCTCAAATATATCGAGTAACAGCATAATAATAAATAGAATTTACACGTTTGCAACGCCATTAGGTACAAAAAGACTTATTTCTCATTGACTTTTTTGTTAAAGAACCCTAACCATGGATACTACCAAAGACGAACTAAAAAAGAAGCACATGCTACCTTTAAGTGAATCATGCGTGCTTTATGCATTACCCTGATTTATACTTTTTAAAGTAACATGTCAATAAATACGTGAGACAATCGAAACAGCGAGAATTTTCATCACTGAACCCTTCAACGAGGTTCAGGCTTGCCAGGTTTGACATCAAGACATGTAAGATTTACACCACTTGTTACGTATAAAGGCATTAATTTTGCTGGATCTTGAGGCTAGGTTACTACGTACCTTGTTCCCTGTTTTTGTGTCGCGCAGCACAAGTAACGGTGTTATTTAGGGGAAGAACAAAAAGTAGATATCAAAAAGCTGACTTGCATAGCTGTTCACGAACACATGCTGTTTTCATTTACTAAACATTTTATCTTTGCCGCCGCTTAAAACATAGCCGATAAAGCACGGAACGATGTCTTTCTTTCCAAGTCGTTCTTAGACCAAAATAAAATCCGATGAAAATTTCCAGTTATCGATTTAAATCAGTGTATGTTTCACAGCAAAATGAATATTAGGCTTTCGAGCTGCCTCTTTGCGTGGCCGTTCCAGGAAGGAATCCTTTTTGCAACGCTTCCACGTTCCGCGAATTAACGTGTCTATCTGTTCGAAATATTCCGAATAATCTGACTACCCGTTGAAATAATACGATGAGTGTATTGTGGTGTGACTGACTGTTAACGCAAGCGGTCTATAATATTTTGTATGTATGTGCTGAACACTGTTCGTAGTTATAGAGTGGTTGTCATTTTTATTGTTGACTTGTTGTCAGACGTGTACATGGTTTAAGGCTAAAGAACTGAGGTAAAGATGAGCGGGTCTCGGAGACAGCGCAACGATAATGATTATGAAGCCAGGCAGAGTTCAGGTACGAATTTCTCTTTCATGATACATTCAAGAATGATTCCACAATTTTTAATGACTGATTTAAACATCACCATAGAGTAAGCAGGGCGCTTTACTAACGTTGTTTAGGAGAACCAAGAGAGCTTTCACTTTTATTGATAGATAATTTGTTTACATTTGAAGAACCATTTTTACAGGTTACACAGTAAATGTTTTCATTCATTATTGAAAAATATTAGTGAACTCTACATGTGCATGGAACACAGCGTTGAATACAAGAAAATTGGAAATGTCATTTTCTCGTGGAGAATAATGTCGAATGTTTCTGTAAATTTGTCTGTATTTTATTTATTTGATTCTCTAGTCACTTACTGCTCTAGCTGTTCAAGGGATTTGGATTTTAGATTAACAGTATTTGGATTAATTCGCATACCTCGTCCGGATCAGAATAGGATTTGAATCGCATGTTCTTTGCGTCTTAGGAAATGATAGGCTAAAATGTATTCTTATTTCGATTCTCAAAATTAAATTGAAGAATACATAACGGCTTCATAAATTAAAGTAAGTCGAGAGACACTGGGCGGGTCGCTTAGACAAGAGAAATATTAAAAGCACCGTTTCAGTGATTATGTGCAATGCCGTTCTTTACTTCCCTTTAGGAAATTACTTGAAAGTTTTAAATAATGAAGCGTTATGCCAATGAACCTGCCTGTCTTCTTTACAAACATTTCTTAATATTTCTTTATATTCGTTTGGTTCGCAGAACTGGAGACTTATCTTCAAGGCCTTGGTAGCGGTTCGGGACGATATGATCGGATGACAGATTCGAAAATAGAACTCATCCATAGTAACTGCAGCAGTCAGCCGGCGACCCGCAGACTGTTTCAGAAACATGCAATGGCTTTGGCTACCCAACTGTCATCGTACCTTCTCAACTGTCCATCGGATGACACGTCAAGATCGTACGTCACGCACATCTTGACGTACGTGGCGAAAATTCTCATAGATGAGGAATCGTCACAGCTCCAGGTCTGCGTGTGTTCTTAATTTAGAATGAAATAATATTAAGAATGTATGAAAAACAGTAAAGAAAAAACGATGTTAGGTCCAGTTAGACCTATTTCAGTAGAGTAATTTCATAAGAGGATATAGGCCAAGCGGCTGTTGCGCCGTTTCTCTCTAACGGATCTCCTTTAAAAGGTTAAGGTCGTCTGAACTTACGGAATCTATTTTTTTGATGACGTATGTCTTATTGCAGGGCTACCTTGGCGTACTTGCTAATAATGTCGACATGCCCGGCGACCTTTGCAAGATTTCCATCTTGAATGCCATCACGAAGATTTCGAAGTATCTGTGGAAGAAACGTCTTCTTTCAATGGGTTCAGAAGTTCTACTCCCCAAATTGTTCGAGATCCTCGAAAGCACCGACAATCCAGTCGTTTTGAAGCCCCTAATTGAAGGGTTTCTCTATTACGCTAACGATTCGTCGATCTTCAAGGGATATTTCAGAGTATTGTATCTTGAGTCTACGATACTAATTGTTTTCTACTGATCAGAAATCATAGAATCTGCCTTTTTTTGAAACAGATGATTAACCTCTACTAGAAATAATGAAATACCTCGATGTAATTGTGCGTTGTACGGCTCCTTATTTTACTATAGATCGTAATGTACATTAGAGCCAGTTCGCAACGATGTTTTTTTGGCTTTCTTTTACTTCTGTCGGATTCAAGCTAGCTGTCGTGCTTTTTTTTATTTGTAAAATAAACGAGATTATTAATAATAATACTATAAGGGATCTTAGAAATGAGTGAAATTTTCCTATTTTTACCGATTTTGGTGTCATCTGTTTATTGGTTTATTATATTGCAGGACGTGTCGGATATTTTAATCGGTTGGCATATTGATGGTTCAGCTGGCCAAGAGTTAGCATCGTTTATGGCGTCATCGTTAACTACGATGGCGCCGTACTTTTCCGTTGACTCTGACTTTTCAGTCTCGCTGATCAAGCAGTTCCAGGAGGACATCGCTTCATTTACTGCTGTATGTATGGGTTGCGTATCATTGTGTTCACAAACACTTCGGGCTGCTATGTAATTTCATCTCACTTTTTACTCTCTCATGCCTCTCAAGCTCACTCTTTCATGTCTTCTAAATGATACGAATCCAGCTCTCTGCTCTCCAACGTGAAATTTATAACGTGGCAAGGCTCCCTGCCTCACAAAAATTACCTCGGGTGTTATTTTATCTTACCTTGAATTGGAAAGTTCTCAGGTCGTAAATTACAGGAAGGATGTATAACAGTTTTGCCTGAACAGGGACTTAGCCCTATATCCATTTCTAATTCACAGAGTATCCTGAATGGTCAAAGCGGTGTTGTGGACAAACTATGCTCGATCCTGCTCGTCATGACGAATATAGCCAACGCTATTCAAAATCAGGTGGATATCCAAGTGGATGCGGAGGAGGTTATGCAGAATCTACTTACGGTGCAAAGGTGAAGCATATAGCAGTTGCTCGTTGTTTATTGCTAGTATAGACACGTATGGTGACCAGCTGTGCGCCATATAGGATGAGAATTTCGTTAAATATCATAAATTAGTACCATCGTAGTTTTTATTGAGATTATTTCCACTGACACTGTCCTACGGTGTTTCTTTTCAGGTTCTTAAAGGATTCGTGTAGTCTTCTTTCATTTTTGACGGAAGCCAACGTGATGTGCTCCTCAATGACAGTGTTAATGAGTCGTTCCGCGGACATCTGTTCGTTCCTAACGCTTCAGTTGAACGATGCGCCCCAATTTCAAATTCATACTAGATACCTTGAAGCGCTCCTTAACCTTACATCACTTGTGATCAGTTCAACAACAAATGGACAAGTTCACGTGGGTATTACATCTGTGTTTATTTCAATTGAAAAAGTCGAAGCATCAAATTATATTGATGAATGATCGCGGAGCCTATATAAATAGTTTGACTCCAAGTTACAAGCAGGAACCGTTTCTACTAGTTAGTATGTTGGTAAATGGCATCTGTATCTGGTCTAAGCATACACCGATACTGCATACGTCGATGCGCTTGCTTAAAGGGCTAATCTATTATTGAATAGTCTGAGGATCGCTGTTTCCAATTTCGCAATGAAACACCGCACACAGTTTGAGCGAAACGATCAAAAGCGTATTTAAATTACATAGAAAGTTGGCAGCAAGTGTGATGACAGAGGACAAAAGAATACTATGGACATTGTTCAATCTAAGCCGTTATGTATATTGCTAGAGAAATGTTAGCTAGAAACACGTGTACAAACCATGGGAAACTTGGGCTTAATTTTATGGTCTAAAAAAGCGCGAGATATCTCGAAGACCACATGTTACATATCTGTAGATAAATAAAGTTTCACGGCTACGAACTTTAGTTAGAAGAATGCCAAAGTAAATATCTGAGCCGAAGTAGTGACACATGGCGGTGGTTTCATGTGTTTCAGATGACAATCATGGAAGCTATGTTTTCACCAACCGGCGCATTGTACAAGCTTCGCAGCAATAAGAGTGTGCAGATACAGGAAAGTTTCGTCCGCGTCAGCCGAGACATTATGGCTCTGAAAGATGTACCTCTTGTACAAGCCGGGTTTCAGTATCTTGCAAGTGACCTTCGTAGTCCAAATGTCAAAGTAGCTTTGGCAGCCGTCGGTGCGCTTCAGGGAATGTCCGAAACAAAAAATTCTCTCATTTCAGTAAGCAGTTCTGTCTCTCAGTAATTTTGCCATTGCAAAAAAACACTATAATATTCTTTAATGGTAATTTTCGTGTAATATTCTTCAGGGTGATTCACCTCTATTATTTTTGTTATTTAACATCTATCTTACGTTTAAACAATGAGTATTAAATTAATATTTTTTGATAAGTGATCGTTTATAGAATGTATGTATCCGCATGTTTACATTTTACTACTGTATTCTTAATGGTCAATCTACTTATTAATAGACTATTTATACATTAGTATGTGATAACCTTCCCTGGTTAATAATATGCTCTTCTCGTTTGACACGGGAGGGTAAATTTTTCATGAGTACCTTGAAGCTTACCCAAATACGATTTGCCCATTCCAGTTATTAGCGGTAAGGCCATCGCTATTTGAACTTCTCCATTCGTTAGTAGGAGATCCAGTTGTCGAGGAGCGCGTTCAACCTGAGATCCTCCGTCTTTTACGAGTGCACTCAATCACCCATACGCACTTCGTTGTGAACTCTGACCTTATTGAGCCGTCAACTTCCGCCACAGCAAATCACTTTAATATGATTCTCCAGCTTTTTACAAAACACCTTCCTGATGGTGGATACATAGGGTAAGTTCCTTTATTTGTCTTATGTTAACTGGATTCAGTATACTCATTTAATGTAAAGAAACTTACGTACTTCTATACATAGTAACACACACATGTGTACACAAGGTTACTGCTAACTATTTTATAACAACAATAACGAATATTATATGATAAGAATACATAAATAGTGTGTGCGCTAAATGAAATAGTACTTAAATACATAGAGACGAATGCGTATCTAATTCTGCATTTGCCTGTGGATTATCGTTAATTCTTCTGTCTGAAGTATATTGGTGCTCGACTGGTTGGATGAGTTGATATTCAACCCAACAGTAACCGCTTACGGGGAGCAATTAGCTTCTGCACCCGTGATGACAGCATTAGTGGCTGCAGTTGTCGACGTGATTCTTAAACAGTGGAAGAACCCTTACTCAGAACGTGCGCTGAACATCTTGACGGGTCTTCTCAAACTCGAAGGATGGTCCTTCGGAGAGCCAACGTTGTCTGAGGTGCGGAAGTTAGCAAAACTCGGGTCAGCAGACAAGCAAATTTTAGCCGTTTTGGATATCACCGGTGAAGATAGCGACGATTTGGTTGAACGTTACGATTGGCAGGCAGGAGACCCGATAGCGTTCAAAAAATTTATGTTGTACGTTTCTGGACAAAGCGACAAGTAAGTTGGTCTCAGTTTGTTCTTAATTTTTATTAATTTTTAAAGAGCTTAATTTTTAAAGCACGAGTTTGTACACATAACTTACTACTTAGGTGATATTATTTTTTGGTCTCTGTTAATTATATTATGTTCCAAAGGTGTTTTGATGTTCAGTAACAGGTTAAGGTATGTATAAATATGTCAGACAGAGCACCGTTTTCTGGTGTCCTACTTATTATTAGAACAGCTATTATAAAGAAATGGCATGACAGGAATTTAAAAAAGTTGAAAGCGTTATGTGCTAGAACTTGTTCTTCGAATCTAATTTTATCACGTGGGTCCTGGCATTTCAATAGGTTGAGCGATACGTTATTGTCGCGCCTCTACATGAAATGTGAGGGGGATGGTTCCTCGTCAGTTCCGTGTTCCAGCGTACTTTGGGCTTGGCTTGCTTGGCAGAGTGCACAGCACCTTGTGCACGGAAAGCTCAAAAGTTATCTGGGCAAACCTCAGGACTCGCTGGGGTAAATTTTTTAACTATCGAAACTTCAACTCTTCTTACGATGTCAAGTAATAAATCTGCTTTGCAAAAACTCACTATTGCCTTTACATTGTATTGCAAACAAATTAAAGGCCAAAAAGCATACCTAAAATACATAAAAAAATCAACTTTTTATTTTTTTTTTACATTCATATTGATTTTTGTGTCTAAGGTTCATCGAATCTGTCCTAAAGAGTTCACTTGATGAACATCGGGGCTGTGTAATGTTAAAGTTTATGGATGCACTCGAACGCTGTATGTATCAGGCTTACGAATGTACAGTAACGATCAGCAATAACTACGAAAAGGTACGTTAAATTTAACGAGTCAGCCAGCTATAATCCGCCATTACAAGTGCCTTTAATTTCTTCAGCAAAGAAATTTTAAAACCACCAAGTTCTATCTGTTTTGATTTGGTTTTTTCCGTGTTCTCTAGCAATGCCGGGCTTTCTTTCGCGCAAATCGCAACACCTGCCAGGAGTGGTTGCAAAGGGTAAGGCCGTTCGTGGCTAAGCTGTCGATTACGCGATGTCAACATCCTTTGGCGGTCTGGCAACTCGAATCATTCTTTGACAACAAGCTCACCTTAAATAGCGATCAGATCAGCTTCTTTGCTTCGCTTTACACGAAAGCTGTCATCGAACTGAAAGCGCCGAATCGACTGCTGGGTTTTGCTCACTTTTTGAGCACAAACTTTACGCTATCTGAGAGTCTCAGTCAATGGTTAAAGGCGAGCTCGCAGCATGCCGGCCAAAAGCTCGAAACTGCCCTTCGAAGTTACGAAAAATTGAAGCTGAAGGATAATCCCATTCTAACGGAGATGGTCAAAGACCAAGTGGAAAGCTGCCGGAGGAGCTTAAAAATTTGCGACGATATTACCCAGTGGGACGAATTGAAGCTCAAGAACTTTGTGTCACGACAGCGCAAGAAATCCAATTTCAATCTTGCCTTTGAGGCACTACGAAGGTTCGAGTCGGTGAGTTGCTTTTCTTTCCCAACTCGATAAGTGTCATAAGATTTAGTAACGTACTTTGTGAATTACGAACAAACCATAAGTTACATTATGGATATAACAAATACCTAAGCTTAATTGAGCACTACGCGTATATCGCACGAGCTTGAGATATAACGATGATATAACCCACATAGAGGTACTATACCAAAAATGACGCCTAACTATGGAAGATTTAATCACGTTTGCAGTATGCTTTCCCAATACTAAACGTCATTTTTTTTTCAGACAATCGACGAAACACTTGTCCTAACGGAGATGACCGCAGAAGCCCGCGGTGCTTACCGGTTCTCGTCGGGTCTTTGCAATCGCCAGTACAGCAAATTGGTTCGAGCACTTGACGGACCTTCTGCAGCTGTCGCTGTTTTATCAGAAGGTCAGGCTGGCGATGCAGAGTCTCTTGTCGGTTTGGCTCGAGTTCTCACTGCCGGCGGAGTCCAAAATTTGTCAATGGGGATTACAAGCGAGGGACACCATCAATGGAGGGTAGGTCTGTTATTAAGCCAGGCGTGCCAACAGAAGCCGGATTACGCTAAAGCCTACTTCAAGTTTGCGGATTGGTCCTATTACTGCGGCAAGAGGTAAGGGACGCTCATATGAAAAGCATCGCGTTACTGTAGAAATTTTATATCGAATTCCACGCAACTTTTTAGGTCTGTGTGTCATGTGTTATCGTATAAGGATTCATTACTGCTTGTTTCACAAGAGGACCAATGCATAAATTAATAATTATGCTTGCAGAGACATCGACTCCGGCGACACACAGATAGCTGCTGTTGAACAAAAACTGATCTCCTCGGTTCTGACGCCTTTGGGTGTTGCACACTTGTCCACGCCAATGTGTTCGGTCATTGGCCGAATCGAATATTGTGATTCGGGAAATTGTGGATGCACATCGAAGAAACAAAAGGTCGGTTTGTATATCAACGTGTCATTAATTTACCATAATCCAATATTGGCTAGTATGGTTGAATTATTTTGAACAAGTCTCAAGTTTCATAAACTTCCACTAATTTGTCTTTTTTGTCTTGTTTTTTGCGCATTTATTGAACATCACTAATTGATTGGTTAATTAAATGACCTTTTTCCTACCTCGCCGCCGTATGCTATGAACGAATTGTTCTAAGATCCTTGCATTACTCGAGGCTGAATCTGTGCCCGAGCCTGGATTGTCGCAGGCATGCGATCATCTTCTTTCAGTTGAGTTGGCCGTACAATCCCGTGTGTTCCGTCATTACCACAGCGCATTGGATGCGTATTTTCACTTCTTACGATTGAGTCCGGCAGGCAACGATGCGGCTCAGGCCGAGGCGACTTTGCGACTTTTACGGCTAATCGTCAAGCATGCTCACTCATTACAAGACACACTTGAAGGTCATATGGCGACTAACATTGTCACAGGTATATTTCTATGCATGTACGATTTTTTTTCATCTAGTTCAATCTGACTGATATCGTGCTGCCTGCTATAGACGCTATAAAATTTTTGAGCTAACGTTTCATAGTATGTTCGTTTTTGCAGAACCGTGGCATGCAATTATTCCTCAGTTATTCGCGCGACTTAATCATCCTGAAGAGTATGTACGGAGGACACTTGTGCGCCTAATAGCACGTATTGGGGAGAGTGGAGCATTGCGACTAGTTGCCTATCCAGCGATCGTCGGTGAGCAAGCTGCTCACCAGGAAGATCGACTGGCAAATATCCGTAGACTTCAACAGGATCCCAGCCAAGAACTTAGTCAAAGTATGGCGGAATCCAGCGACGAGGAAAAGTTAGTTATGATTATTCTATCTGATCCATTATATGATAGAGCGAAAGGAACTTCAATGATAGAGCCCTGTAAAGTGCAAGCCGCTTTGATTTACATATATAAGGAGTTGAACATACACGATAGAATTCATTTTTGCTCACATGTAAATATGGTAATTCTATTGGGAAGCAATTAATATTATCAGTTAAAAAGAATTCGTAACAATGTAGCGTTGCAGTAACGGTTTAGTCACGGTCAACTCTTTAGGTATATATAAAACACCATTGGACAGCGATTGTCAACTATCTAGATATTTCGTAACGAAGCAGCTCATTTATAATAGTTCACTCAACTTCTAATATCCTTTTCCTTCACTAACTTTTAAACCAAGTTTGTTTGGTCGTAGAACGCTAGATCTATTAAATTAACGGTTAAATTTAATTATTATTAAAAATTAAAATGACTAAAACCCACCACTCGTTACTTCCTAGATATAGTCATGTTGCTTGATGGCTTGTTGGCTAAAGATGCTTCTTCTATATTACTTCCAGTGATGCGCTGGAGGTTGAAGAGATGGACGATGCGTCAAAACGCTGTTACGCTGAAATATGCGCTTCTCTACGACGGGATAATGGAGCTCAGATGAGTGAAATTGAATTATTCGTAAGGGAGATGGAGAGAGTATCCGTTCTTTGGGAAGAAAAATGCCTAGCAGCACTAACGCAACACTACCCACAGTTAAATCAACCCGGTGGAACCCAGATGGTAGGTGCCACCTAGCGACAAACGCTTACCGTCCTTTAAATATTATGCCATATACAACAGAGCCTGTTCTCTATATTCTAATTTTGGGTTAAAGATTGGGCTTTAAAAAATCATAAATGCGTTCGACTCAAGAGATTGGGCATTCTATGACCATAAGAACTTTTGTAAATATCAGGTATGGCAATTTTTTTAATCAGCCAGCGTGAACTAATTACACAATGTATTATAATGCCTAATCTTAAGGAAAACGTCGTGCAAGAGCATTCCAATTCTCATTCGCGATTAAAAAACGTCTCGCGACTCATTAGTTGACTAAACCTCCGGAAAAACTTGTTTCAGTACATAAGATGGAAGTGCTAGTTGTTTTCTATAACTTCAAAGTGCGAAAATCTTATAGTAGAAAAAATTAGCTAGGCGATAGAGTCTCATTAGACATTAAACATGCGTTGGTGCTAAAGAGCTCAATGTCCTTACGTGAGGTTTCCATCCAGAAACAACCAGGCTAGGAGTCGCTTTTCTTCTTGTTTTTCTATCATCTTTTTTTATTTATTTCGTTCTGTTTGATATGATTTTGCAAAAATCCTGTCACATTTATATGTGCAGTGTGTATATATATGTGTGTGTTTATACATTTACACACACATATATATACACATATGAATATTCCTCTTACATACTCTAGGGTACTATCATCGCTGGACAAGTAGCCACAAGATCAAACTCAAATATAGTATAACATTCATTACCTATCCATGTTGGTGAAAACGCCATACTCGAATGAAGGACTAGTATAAAAAGGATTGTTAGTACATCGGTCTAGAAGTTGTCTACCATAGTATTTATTTTAATGACATAATTGAAAGTTGAACCTGTACAAGTCGTTCACGTAAATAAATTGAAAAATGTAGTACAAGTTATCAACACGTGATTTGAAACTCGGCCATAAGTCAATGGCCGTAAAAGAGGACTATGGTGGAAAATCATTTTATAGGTAACGTTAGCAATCAATGAAGCGCGCTGTTTATTTCAACCACTTGTGCCCAACCGTCATACGTCTCGTGTTTCTCTGTAGACGAGTGTTTCCTGTGTAAGCTCTACCAGAGAAAATGGCATGGCTAATCTTCCTCATGTCGCACAGTACAAGGACGTCACACTCGATAAATGTTTCTCATATATTGCTTGCCAACAAACTTTCTCATGAGAGACATATGTTTCCATCTATGGTACAGCAGTAATGTAAATTGTAATTTTTTATTTTATTTATTTATTTTGTCATTTATTACTGAAGCCATTAGATGATTGGTTGACGTCTCGCTTTTATTGAGCCTCCTCGAGCGTCGTGGTACACTGTGTAATAAAAGTGAAATTACTTCCATCTGCTATTTGAGCTGTTCAATTGTTGGGGAGCTTTATTTTTATAGCAGGTTATCTTTTCGTTATGTACCATATATAGTAGTTGTACAGACAGAAAGATGAACATACTAAAGTTTTTTTAGATTTTTTTGCATTGCATAAGGTTGCATCAGGCTGAAATTTTTTGAAATTGATAATGTAAGGCCTCCTATCGGACGAATGTTATATCATTTATGATAGGTCTTCGGGAACACCCAACTGACATTCATGTTTAGATGATGTAAGGAATTAGTTTTACCAATTTTAACAGAAAATGGAGCTACTAGAATAAATTGAATAATTCTGCGATAACTTTATTATGATTTCCATCGTGTAGTGCACGGATTTACTGAAGGACCTAATCCAAATGACGCTGCTATCGCCGGCAGAAACACCTCATGAAGAATGGTTCCAGAAGAACTTTTCGGGACCCCTTAATAAGACACTCGACACATTCCAGAACTGTAAAGTAAGTACTTTGTCAACAGTATTCGAATTTTATTATAGGAAGGTAACACCAAATACAACACTATGTATAAATATTGTATTTTAGCCACAGTTAGTTATACATGAATAAATTTAATTATAGCATTTTATATACGCATATATTTTTGAAAGTCGTTTTTACAACAGTTTATATGTGCTGTAAGGTCATGTACAATTTATGACGATAAATACGCTACATTTCTGTAAATAAATTCACCAATGCGAAAGAGAAGGAGATGATATTTATAATAAATGCTATTTAGGTGTTAGAGAAGATCGAATTTGTTTCCGATAGTGTTTTTATGGGTACTTCATTACCTATGGATTTTGATTCGGTCGAAGTTTGAACAAAGTCAGCAGGTTTAATTTTCGCGGCCTCGTAAACTTCAGCTAAGTATTTCGTAGTTCTGACGACATAATAATCAGAAGCGAAACGGCTTCAAAAGTAATTATTCTACTTGAGGATTTGCGTTGGCGATTTCTTAGAAGTTAGTCTTAGAAATTGCATTTTGCGGGTAGGGAGGACGCATTCGCTTAAGTGTTCCGAGCGTTACTAATCATACTGACGCCTGGTGGAGGGACATTATCCTAGGGTTGAACTTCATAGGTACCGAAGAACTGGAAAACAAGCACTTAGACAATCTTTCTAAAGGTTGCAACATAGAAGGTGTACAACCAACTAGTTGTTGTATTCATGCCATTCACGAATATACCGGTATGCTTGACGCCCGAATACCACTAAGTGCACTGAAGTTACGCTAATTCCGAAAACATTTTTGCGAAAATCTAGGATCATGTCTGTCAACATGGGGTTAACACCAGTCAAGTCCATACCTTGAACTGAACAGGCAAGCGCAACTAGAACCATATTTATCTGACCATCGCATTCGGCTATGGCAATAACAATGTAAAATATGGCATTGAAAGCTTAAATTGGTGGTGATATAATACAATATCAATTTAGAGTAGTACTTTATTGATAAGCGTATGCAAATAAGAAAGGAAGACCTCATGCCACGGAGTAAACGAATGCATTATGTCATGTTCTGCCTGAAACAGGAGTGATTATGTACCCCCCAGTAGAAAGCACTTCGTATAAACCCTTGCACCATTAAGCTCCACGTGAGTAGGTTCAGATAGACTGTAGGTACACGTTCGTGGTCTCATTCTCTATACCATTGTAACCCACGTAACAGTTGCTAGTTCGTGGACTGCTGTGTAGTTCACCATCGTTATATGTGGGGCTTGAATTATATGAGCTCATATCAGGCCGAAAGAACCAAGAAACAAGAAAGTTTAATATGCTTAGTTCTTGCCATAGAGCCTATATTTCTGCCTGGTCATTGATTTGCCGTTGTTATGTATTGTTCTAGACGATGTGCAATTTAACGCACCGATCGAAGTGCGTGTGGCCAAGCTGTCCGGATCATTATGGCTAATCCATTACCAGCCTGGGCACATAGCTATTTCTGCGTACTGCCTATATTTTTTCCAGAAGACTCCAGATATCGGAGAGTCCCATGCTTCGTAATGTTTACATGACCTCGTGTGTGATATCAGGCAGCAAATGTCAAAACATCACTAAGAGGAACCCGATGCAAATTATCATTCGGTATAATCTAACGTTGTCATGATAACCATTATAATCGCATGTCCAATACAGATACGTGTAGTTTGGAAACCCGTATAAGAACAAGGTTAGGTAAAATATAAGTTTCTTTGCGAAGGTGGGCTGAAGGACACGGCATTGGTAGTTAGACCCTGCATCACAAACATTGACTGGTATTCTTAGGAAAAGACCTACGTCTTCTTCTAATTCAACTAACTAAAGAATACAGAGCTTGCTCTGTATTATTTGTTTTTCAAATAACTGCCGGCGAACATGCCACCGAGGATTTTGCTGTTCTCGTTTATAGACAATAATAATCTGATGATAAGCAATAGTAGTAGCATTTGCCGTATGGGCTAGCATCTAGCCATTAGGCCAACTCAACGTACCAAAATTTGGTCATGGGAGAAGAATCATTCATTTGCTCATGCGCTAGGCATGAATGTTGACAATAAATTAGTGTAACAAAGATCTTGGGAGTGTTTACTCCATAGTGTGCGGCTGAAATGCGCAAGTAACGCTGAGAATAACTGCTTCTTTGCTGTTAACGAGTTCGAGTACTCAAGAATGCACCCAAGAAGAAGTAGCAAACAGCAGCTCACAAATTGTACATAGGATTTTGTGACGCTGCACTTTTAAACACAAACATATCCAGAAGAATTGTGCGAGTAATTTTTATACGAAAATTAGTCGTATGATTGGAAGCGCACGCGCGCAAATCATGTCTACACATGTTAATTGTTGCTGCGTAGATGGAAATCTACAATAGACTGATTTAAAGCAAAGATCGAATGAACTTTCTAACTTGATTTATCGTTATAAGCAAAACATTTTAGTTCATGAAATCCCTTATGTTCATGGATGAACTACCGCTCCTGACACTCACATTAGTATACACGTTCTACCCTTGCAGGCTATATCTATAGAGAAGATTCGTGGGGTACCAAGCTTTAAATAGTAGACATGGTTGCTTAAGCTACAATGTTTGTTTATCCGCACTTTGCTTTGAAGAACAGCATAAGAGTTATGAGAAACAGGGATGGTAGCTTTATTAATAGCGTGCTCTGAGCATTTATTGATTCATGGTCTTTAACATTACGGTGATCGTTGTATCAGGACGTTGACAAATAGCATGACACCGATCGAATAGACTGTCTCGCTTCTTCAGATTAACCTGGATATCATCAATTCCGGTTCATTGGTGCGAGCCACTTGTGTTGTAGTTTTTAAGTTACGGACAGCTCTGATCCGTTCACCTTAGTTGCCTGTTGTCCTCTAGCAGATTGATCTCAGTTTTTAGTGAACAGACTGTTTTTCTTCCAGATATCAACGTTGCCATTTTGCAAGATGAGATGAGATGACTTTTAGGAAACCAGTGCTTTCGGTTGAAAAAGTAACATGGCTAAACACTGAGTAGAGAAACTGCTTAAAGTGAGGGCAATAACGAGTCATTGCTCGTGGATGTTCGTTATAGCGCGTGTACGACGACGACGACCCCACAATCTAAGGAAGCTGTATGGACAGTTCGTGTAGGCATTTTTGCTATAGCTTGGGAGGTAGAATACCCAATATATTCGACGCATAGCCAATGATTAGGTCGTCGTTGAATCCAAAGTCAAACCAATAGCCAGCGGTTTAGAATTTAGAACCTTTTCGCCCTCATTCTGCATTGGGTCAAAAGCAACTACGCAGCTTCTCTATAAGTGGACACGACCTGTTAAACACGTAGCAGGTGTCGGTCTCATGTTGTTCCTTCAACTTGGTCGTGTGTCTCATCAAATTATATGTACGGCTGCTATATCAAAGTCACAGCTCCCAAAATTCGGATAACCAGCTGCGGATACGCTCAACAAGAATTTTTTTTTATCGAACTCTCCGTTTATGGTGGCATAGCCCAGTTTGTTTATCCCTATACGGTGCTCTCTACGTAGGAGACTGAAGACTATTTTTTGGTTTTTTTCCTCTCTCTTTCGTTGTCATTGTGAGCGTCTGATTGCTTGATTTTAGTCGGCTTGGACTCTATGATTGGCAAAGCTAGAAATGATTCCTCGGCTGGCAAAACTAGATCAGACTCATTTGTGCTTGTCTCATGCTTTATCATTTTTGGCTGTGCAAGACCCCAAGGCTGAATTTCTGCGGTGCCGAATATTTGAAAAATGAGCGCCGAAAGGAGCCCAATGATACCAGCAACGTAGAAGCTGTTCGCCCAGTTTAAGGTCGTGTTCTTCTCTTCGGTGAGCACACCAGTGATATACGGACAAGCTATGCCGGCTAATGCAGCGACCATTACACTTACGCCAAAAACGCTTCCGGCAAAATCCGGAGCTATATCTATTGGAATAGGACCTACACCAGCCTCATTTATACCCCGAAATATACCCACAGTCACAAACAAAACGAGGTTAACCATCCCATTACAACCGCCAACAGCCACTACGACAAATAAAATTATCGACGGGACAACAAGCGAAATCGCGTTGAATAATTTACGTGCGTTCGTCAGAGACAACCAACTCCGGGCTACAATTGCGTCACATATTGGTCCCGAAGCCAGACAGCCCACTGTTGCTCCAACATATGGCAGTGCTGAAAACATGCCATTGCTGCGAATATCAAAGTATAAGACCGTACCAAAGTATGTTGGCAGCATTGAGCCGAGAACAGCATGCAAATACAACGCTCCAAATAGGGCAATGTGAGCGGCCCATGCGGAAGGTGAAAGCAGAATGGCCTTCCAAGGTGTAGGCGCGTGAGTGTTACGATGTCGTTCAACGTCTCCAGTGATATACCTTAGCTCGGCTTTCGACATCAAACGATGCTCTTTCGGGGTGTCGGTAATAAATATTACCCAGAGCACGCACCATATTATGCTAAACACACTGGGCACGTAAAATGCACTCGGCCAGCCCCCAAGAAACCCGCTACCAGCCAGTTCACCGGCTACGAACATCCCGACGGCAACGCCAACAAAAACGCCTGAATGTACAAAAGTAACAGCCATCGCCCGTTGATGCTCTGGAACCCAGTAGGCCAATTGAACCTCAATTGATGGGAAGGTGACTCCTGCGCTAAGGCCTTGAAATAGGCGAAGGGCGACTAAGCCAATATAATCAAAATATTGCGTGACGATCGGCACGAGGAAACCTAGAACCGCAGCAATAAATATTCCGGAGACAAACAGCCACCGAGGACTGAATTTTTCGGCAAGGGTTCCGCCTGGTATAGGAGTCAAAATATACCCCCAGAAGTACGATCCCAGTACGAGACCTTGAGTTATCGGGCTCCACTCGAAAGGTCCATCCGAGTGTATGATATCTTCGGTGATACTGTGATTAAAATCCTTATAGCAGTCGCTCTTTGTCACCGTTTTATATATTGCTGTATGGTTTACCATAGATACGATAGCGACATGTAGGTTAACTCGCAGCACAAATATACACGAGAAACCAGTAAAGCCTAGAAGAAGAAACACGTAACGGAATTGTATCCAGCGTTCTTCCGGTCTTCGGTCATTTCGTAAGCCCTGTTGAACTGCAGTGTCCTGAGATCTACCGCCCACAGCAACGTTCGCAGCCATATTGAAATTCGGTTTCACGCACGATTCACTCGTATCAATTTTAAGGGTATGCTGATGCGCTTGCTTATTTTCCGTGTACTTATGCGTGTGCTTATTTCCGCTACGGGTGAAGTGTAAATTTACTATTTTCGCATCACATGTGCCCGAGCAGGATAGCTTTTTAAGTGGGTTTTATCTGAATAGCACGTTAGAGACGGCGTAGTGACTGATCGTCTAGGTAGATATTTAATATTAGTTCAGTGGGCGTTAAACCAACTGTCCATTCAAGATACGAACTCGGTTAACTAACAGACAGAATGCGTGCGGCTTGCGTCGAATTTATTAGGAACCGATGAACGTGCTAATTGGTCAACGAACTCGTTACTGATATATGTCACTTACAGCCGCTAGGTATTTTATAGTTTAATGGCGTCTCTGATATTAAAACACGTTCAATTGTATTGAATAGAAAACAATCACCTCATAGTATTATACGAAACCGAACACTTTGGCTTCCCTTCGCCACAATATGCGAGATACTCTTTTAGCAGTTCGTTGTTGATCGGATAAAGATATGAGTAAAATATGTTATCTAGGGGCAAATTTTTTGCCAAAAACTTTTATCTGTGTTGCATTAGTGGAGGATTGCCCGAAATCGACACGAAACCATTTTTTTGTGATCAAATAGAACTTGCTTACGCAGGGGTTTCAGTATCTGTCGTCTAATCATTGTTACCTAGTGTAGTTTGGCGCTTGAAATCTAGTGAGCTTTATTTGTATTTGTTAAAGATGGGGAAGTTCTTCCCTTCATATTGGCATGAAGACAACTTGGATCAACCTATTTAAATCTGCTTTGTACCTAAATTTAGAGAAAAATATGCATCATTTGGAACATATACAGTCCCAGTGTCCTCGCTTGGTGGTCTCCGATTTTGTTTTCAATGCTGAGTTCGTGTACAGGGTCGATTGGCCTGCTTGAGCAGGAGAACTACTAACTACAGTGTGTATGGAGACGACGGCAACGTTAATATTGATTCGCATCACATACAAAGTAGGCCGATAAGACGAAAAACAATTATAACGTGTCGATTCTGGGTTCTGGCTTGCTATTTAATTTGTCTGATACCCACGTCGGAATGGGCGGGTCTTCCGCTTTTCTGGTTGACACTACGCACATACCGAATACGCTAAGGACCAGTTTTACATGCGAATTGTTTTTCAGTTAGATTCTGCTAAAGTATTGTGGTAGCCTCTCATGACGTATAATTTATAGTTGTGTATACGATTCACATAATCTACAGGCTACAGGCTAATAAATATCGACCACGTATATGTGCGTTAGAGGACAGTCCAGGAAGACGAGTGCTTTCAGTGTTCTGTACGCAAATCTGTTGGGTATGACGATATAATGGATTCAAAATTGATGGTATCTGGCTCTCCCTTGTTACGACTTTTCGAAGCAAGCTGCATTTTCAGTGAGATGCTCTTTTATGTTTCCATGCATTTGTCACAGGGCTCTGGCAAGTTCTGGAAAGCTATACACCTGCCACTCGTGTCTTTATATATATTTCTCGATTTATGGCATTTCGAAGGAAATCCATAGTCGCTTATATTTGCTTATCAATTGCTCTTTTTAGGGCGCGGAATGCCCCGTAATCACACATATTTAAATGGGGAAAATGAGCGGGTTGACGCCGACCTTGGATATTTCCCTTCTATATTCAGGAAATAATTATGTGTGGCAATGAGGTTTGGCGTTGTCATCAAATAACTATACTATGTGCTTTTGGTAGCCGTGTTCTAGGGTGCATGAGTCTCTTAAGAAACTGTGTTTCTCTGTAATTTGTAATGTCTCTAATGTCCATTGCAAATAGTACTATCATTTTATTTCCTAACCCCCTCAGTACTGTTAGCAAACTAAATTTCTCTCCAGGACGATGCTACTTTTTCAGCTGGCCCCTCTCCGGTTGGCAGTAGATATTGAATTATACCTCCAGAGAGGTTTTTATTCCGAGAACTGGACGTGGAATATACCACATACATTCCAACTGGCCTGAAATCAGTCCATTAGGGACCCATTTTTTACTCAATTTTTGCATTTTCAGTATTCGAGTTATCGTTCTGTTCATCGTTCCATATGAAACACCAATTTTGGCCGATAAAGCTATTAGGCTCCAAGCTCTGTTGTCGAAGAAAGCTTTTTCAATTTCGGCAGTGCGTTTTTGTCCTGAAGGTCCCGACATCTGATCATTTGCTTGCTGCTTGCTGATGTTCAACATTCCGACCTCCGTTCTTGAAACGTTCACGCCATTCGCGTACTGTGCTTTCATCTAGGGCCTCGTTGCCTGACGTCTTCTTCAATCTTTGCTGAATTTCCGTTGCGCTGTTACTTTCGAAGAACGAAAACCTCTGAGCGTCAATTTTCGGGACTAAAAGATTATAGACTTGTGAACCTATTTCAACTGAAGTAAACTCAGCCCGTCTTCATTTCCAAGTTTCTTGAAGTTACTCAGTCTCAAAGTTGGTCGGATTTTTCCGTAAAAATCTAGTACTTACAAAGATTTACAGTAAGAGAATTATAATAAAAAGAGTTAAAATTCTATGCAATGTGTCACGAAGAAAATGCATTTACCTGGCTCTCAATTTTTGGAAATGATCACATCTCCTCTGATATGGCTATAGCAGATGTTCTGCATTTTGGTTTGCGTTGAATAAAATCATGAGCCGTACAGATGAACTCAGTTTTGTAGAATTAAGGCTTTTTTGTTAGCAATCGCAAACCAGATTCGTGATTCACTCTTTCTTACTTTTATCAATATATACCTATAATAAATCATAATAATTATATTATGCGTTATTATAGGTAAAATGAAATATGATAAAATGAAAATATTTTTATTGACACGTAAATTTGTCAAAAACGGTGACCGCTCAGTAATGATTTGGTTATCTTTTTTTTGAACGTTATCAGGCTACTATACAACTTTTGTTTAATTGTACAAGACAATCCGCTATCTTAATTATTACGAGGAAAATTCATTCCTAAATAACTCCTTGAAGTTTTATCGACTATATATATAAGAATCTATTCGAGATAATCCCGGAAGTTTTGTTTTGCTGTCGCGAAGATCTGAAATTTGTTTGCTATTTCCCAAGGATAGATTTAAATAAACTTAGTGTGCCGTAGATGCAATGGTGCAGACGTACTGCTCACAGCACGCTTATGAAATACATGAACATAATTTCGATATTTAATAAACACACTAGGCGTATGTTGTAAGAAGACATTGTACGATAAAATAGCATGTAAGGTAATAATCTGACTTTAAATGAATATGTCAGAGTTTCGGGACTCTGACATGTTCCACGAATACAACTTCTATCAATCAAATGCAAAGTAAATTAGTGAAAAAGAATTTAGCCTGCAACTGAAACGGGTCTCTAGTATCAGACTCTTTATCAATTTCCCACATGTGTGGAGATAAGCTTTCTGTATTTTTAAAAAATTCATTAGACTAAGCCAGCTAGGTAAACATAAAGACTGGCTGTAAGTTGTATGGTTCTCATCATCTGTCATATCGTATACAATAGGTGCCTATTGTGTAGATATCAAGGCCTGACTAGGAAACACGAGCATATGTCATTTTCAACAGGGTTGCTGTTTATGCAAAAATTAAATCGGTCGGCCCTGGATGTATTGTGGAAACGTTTTCCGACGTAAAAAAATCGTTCGTTCTGTGAATTTTCTACTATTTGTTAAGACCTGTGTCTGGCATAAGGACTCCTTCATAAAAAAATAATTTTGAATCGCTATTTTTATTTTAGGTTTGATTGTTGAATTAAAGTTATATTCAACAGCTTTTGCGAACGTTTCATGCTTCTAGATAAAGCTCAGTTTTGTGATACATTATAAAACAGTGCATCTGGACACATTGTTATTTGATTTACGCGATGTTTGGGACCTATTAATAAAAAAAAAAAGATAAACTATCGATGATACCATCCATCACTCCTTCTAATGATATTGACCTTATTATTTTACAGGATCCAGAAATTCTGAAAAAAGCTTACAAGGCATTATGTGCAACAGTAAATGTTAAGATTCAGGAGGATGTACGGTCCCAGTTGGCCATGTCAACAATCTCTCCTCGTTTGGCGGGCCTCAGGAATACCTTACTTCCCGTGCCGGGACAAAACCGAGCGACAGTTGCGTCTGTGGCATCAACAGTTACTCTATTGCCCACCAAATCAAAGCCGAAAAAGTTTGCGCTCATTGGAGATGACGGCGTTAGGTATACGTTCCTGTTCAAAGGTGAGTTCCGTTTTCAATCTAAAACATAGAGAGATAAATTACGAATTACAGTTTCTTTAAGGTTGTAGCATCTAATTATCGTAACATACCCAGTAAAGTAATGGGGTTTAAAATTTCTTTCTCGTAAGGTATTTTTCAACCTGCATATCAATTAACTACCAATTTTCCTACCGTTTTTTGCGACTACCTTTTCCTGCAAGGATAATCTACATATCTACATATGTTATCTATAGTTTTTTTCCGATATGATCCGAATTAGTCATATGTCACACTGTTGAACAAGTAATGCAAGAGATACCTAAATTTGGCACGTCATTAGCCCTATATTCGAGCACTGCGTCGACCGGAATAATTGCGCAACAACATAATAGCTGTAATCAGTATTTGATGATGCTTAATGACTGTAATATTATGATAGAATACAGCCTTATATTCTGTTCTTTCAAAAAGTTCCATATATAATTTGTAACAAAGCTTTGGCGTGCTATCCTACGTATGTGACTGATATAGTTTTATCTACATTTATTATGGCCTTTTGATACTGCCGCTCTCCCTATGATTCTTAATAACGCCAACGGGATAAATATAGGTGAACGCCCGTTTCTTCACTCAATTTGGCCGTAAACTAGAACTGGACAGTAAATACGCCTTACTGAACTTGCACTGCGTTTCAAGTCTTGGCTCTTTCGTGACTTGTTATTATGTTCTTTTTACATTTGGCAATAATCGTTTTTATAATGTGACTTAGGATTTGTTCCATTCAATGATTTTATAGATTTAACTCATTAGTTTAAGGCCTAGGCAATTTATGAATGTTAAAGATGTACTCGGTCTAGTTATTAAAAAACGCTTTAAGCTTATGGTGTCGATCTTGAAACCTTACACGAAATGGCCAATATCAGCACTCATAGGACAAATTCCCTCGCGAACATAATACACAATAGAACAAACATTGGCAGGCTTAAAAAGTTTTTTTCACCTTTTTATAAACAATACGTTGTTTTTTCTAGTTAGTTCATATATCATATTCATATACGATCATAAATAGCAGTTTGTCTTCTGTCTTCTTCTTCTTCATTTATCAAGCTTATTCATTGTGGCTGTCATCAATCTAGTCAACGTAAGCTGACCCGTAATTATTAATGACTAAACTGTTATATCGACTCTCTTTGCTTATGCGCATCGAGAAGGATCCCTGCGGATGTCCTGCGGCCGTAAATCGTTTTATTTAGTAAAGACGAAACCATAGTGGGATTCGTATTGCAATTACTCAGTCTGATAGTTGAATTCTCTGTGGCGCTTTTATCCAACTGTAAAATCAGCCCTTCAACTGGACTTAGCGTTGAATATGTCATGCTATTATGTAACTTACTAAGAAGTGGACAAAGCATTTGGATTTTCTGTCAGGTGCTTTACAAGCGTTTAATGATTTTTGAAACAAAAAAGTTCAGTTCCCCCGACTTTCACGGCCGTGTACTATAACTAAAACTGGCCGATTCGACCGTGTTTGTAAGGTGGTCATAAAATACACGCGACAATATCTTTGAACTTTAAGATCAAAGGTGGTAAAGTTTTAGTCTTCTCTATAGTTTTAAGGATCGAAATTTGAAAATGCAGAAGTGACCGTATTATCTATTAAACGATTGCCTTATACAATAATCACAATAGAATATTGGTGATGTGAATTGTTGGATCTACAAGACCCAAAGTTTTGCGAAGTAAATAAAAGATCCTTTTCAGGAGTTTCGGCGATATCCATCGAGGGTCGCTTCTTCATTTAAAAACATACGTTTTATTTTCTAAAAAGTAAAGGGCAATACGAAAAGTATTTTTCCGACGTTCGTCTTGGCTGAATATTTTTAACTTACAGGATCAAATAGAAAATTTCCACAGTTTTACCGATTAGGCCTTTATTTTAGTTGGGAGCTATCTTTTTGCGCCATGCTAAGTTTTAGTGATGATCAAGTCTCGTGTTGTATATTATATGTAAGGTTGAAAGTCTAATCATGGTGCCAACCTGTAGCTTCTCAGATGACCATTTGAGCACGTAAGTTACCGGTTAGTACCTAAATAAAACCCAGCTTAACCAACGAAGATCGAGCATGGTCCAAGTCGTATTATTTTAGACAACTTGCAGCTTATTAATATTTTTTTCGAAAAACATATCCCAGCTCGCGATTAGTAACATAAAAAATGTTCAATAAAAAAAGGCGCAATAGGCATACATCGAATTAAGTTCTTTTTGGAATGAATGGCCCAGAGCAAGCGCTTTCCAGCAGACCGTTAAGGGCAGTCAAGAATAACTTGCTGTTATAAATAGGGACATCTACCTAATTGAGTGGAACACGAATTTAGCTTTATGTGCGTTCAGTCTCAGTTAGAGCGTGAAAAGTAAGTTGGGCTTATTCTCTAGTCTATTATTTGTTAACTGACTCCGGTTTCGCATCTTTATTTATCTGGGAGAAAGGGACGACGTCACCGACAAACGAGACTGCTCCGAAATAAAGAAATTAACCGTTAATGGAAAAAATGAAGTGAAGAATAAAGCAAATAGACCAATATACAATCTATTTATGTATTGGAACATCTACATAGGTGTTTCATTTCTACTTGTACCAGTACGGTTTGAAATGATGGGAATTTCCTCGCTATCGATAGTTTGTTCGCGCGAGTTACGGTACTGTTTTCTTACTCGGTGTGTGGCTTCCGTTGAATAGGCAATAAACAAAAGTTTCGTACTTGAATGAAGCTTATCTCTAGTAGACAAACCGTAACGTCTTAAACGCCTTGTGGCGCTCGCCGGACGTAAAGGTACGCTGGTTTTGGTTCTTCTTGGAAAATTCCATGCGAATCGGTTTCAAATACACTTCTCTAATATTAGAATGGTTAAAGTGGCAAAGGCCCCCGGTGCAGAGAACTAGCTAGGACTATGACAAGATTGGGTGGCACTAGAATGATATGAAGAACTTGATTCAACCATGTTGTGGATAGCAGTACATATTACCGTAGAAATTAAAAAAGAATACTGCTTGTTATTTTATTAGGTTTGGAGGACCTTCATCTTGACGAAAGGATTATGCAGTTCCTTTCAATCTCTAATCGTATCTTGTCGAAGCGATTCGGCCAAAACTCCTATTTGGCCCGTAGCTACGCAGTCACTCCGATGGGACGCCGTTCAGGTCTTATACAATGGATTGATCGTTCGGTGCCGCTGTTTGCACTGTACAAGAGGCACCAGATTGCCAAGCAGGGCTATGCAACCAGGCCTACCGAAATGTTCTATAGTAAATTAATTCCCAAACTCAATAAGGCCAACATTCCCACCGGTACGTACGGTACAATTTACTTTATATGAATTTCCTACTTTTACTTATAACGGAAGAAAGTTCGTTGGATCAAAATTCAACCGCCAGTAATTACTTGCTATTCCATGTCCGTAAATAGTGTATAATTACGTTTCGCTGAAATGGGTAATAAGCAGTGAATGAGGCATACTGACCGACGCATCATTCGTTTTCCTGTGTGTTTGTTTTCGTGTTTTTTCGTCCCATAAAACTTCGATGAGACAGATAAACGGCGCGAATGGCCAAAGGAACTTCTTATGCAGGTCGTCGAAGAGCTGACAAAAGAAACTCCAGGCGATTTGCTGCTGCGCGAAGTCTGGGCAGCCTGTGCCACCCCAGGCCAACTCTGGGCTCGTCAGAACGCCCTTGTGCATAGTGTTGCTGTCACGTCGATTGTCGGCTACATTATCGGATTGGGGGATCGACATCTAGACAACATTCTTGTTGATATTCATTCAGGCCATATTATTCACATCGACTACAATGTCTGCTTCGAGAGAGGTTCGTTATAATAATCATTTCAAGTAACGATTGTTATGGCCGTGCTATAAGAAAGCCCGCATAGGTCTGACTATTCTGAGACTGGCATAGGCCTACATTTTGTATAATACTGAAGAGATGGGTTACAACTAAAACTAGCGACTAATCAATGTAGCGGCGCCCGTTGTTTTAGCCACGTGCATGGTTTTTAATGCCAACTTTCAACTGTTAAACAATTATGAAATTATCATTCATTGTTATATAGAACTCTAACTATATTCTTATTTATTTAAAAAAATAATTTATCAGAAGTTATTGTTTAAAATTCCGCTTCTAAAATTAATTTATTATTAGGGGTTATTAATCAAACTGGTATAAACCTATGGTTAGCTCCACAGACATCGACACATCTGAACACCGACAATAAAATACACTAACTAGATACCGCTCTATTTTAAATTTACTTAACCGTGTAGAACTGTGTCAGCGTTTTAACGTTAAAGGAAAAGTTATTCAAAAACGCATTACATCAGCGAATGAGATTATTATTAATTTAATTCTATAAGGTAAGTTAAATTATTATCCGTCATTAGTGATCGAAAACTATTACTGTTTACGTCTGTTTCTCTTACTATAAAAGAATTATATTCCAAACGAAAATCGTTTAAGACCGATACAACCGAGTACCATTAATTTCTACACACACAATTATTTGAGTGACTTTTGTCTCGACATTGATATGGTTGTATAGTAAACCGTATAGAGCCTATTTTTCTTGTATGCCTTATAAAAGAGGCTCGATAACTCAGCGCAGCACTTGGAGGTTATATATGATTATGCAGTTCTGATGTATTCGCCGCCATATTTATAGCGAGACCTGATTTCAGGAACTCAACTGCGGGTTGCCGAACGGGTGCCTTTCCGTCTAACTCCAATACTCAGTCGAGCCCTTGGTTTGAACGGTCTCAATGGAGTATTCCAAGTAGCTGCAGAAAACATCCTCCGAACGCTGAGAGCTAACCGCGAAACCCTACTCACACTTCTTGAAGCCTTTGTCTACGATCCTCTCGTAGACTGGACTGTCGGTGAGTAACTAGTTATACAGCGTCGGTATGACAAATAATAGTTACACAGTAGATTGCTCACAAGATATAAATACTTACTAGAATTTATTGCAGCGAAATACTATATGCAAAAAATAAAATTTCGGCACAATGCTGCTATGCCACGTTCTCTACGATCATTAGACATGTCAACGCCAATGTTATCAATCAAGGGACCTAAATACGCTAGGTGCACATTTTCTTCCCGTTGGTGCTTTAAGGTGGACCAACATCTGTAACTAAGGCGGCGTCGATAACGGCCGAATGCGCTGTTACTCAGCTTGTGGCTCTCTGCGAAGAGGACGGTTTTCAGCAGAATCTAATGAAGGTGGAACGAGAACTCCGAGTTATCTGGAATCAACTTACTGCAAACGTCGTCGAGTGGCGGGATAATGCCATAGCACTGGCTGATAAGACAGCGCTCATTACAGCATTGCAGGTTCGACCAGTAGCTAGGCAGTTGATCTTTAGGTCCTACTTCGGTCCGTTTTATTTCTGTCGATAGGCCAACAAAAATCGTATTTTGATCCGTCTTTCAGATGGGCGCTTGAAGGGTCCAAGTTAAGAAACGCGCCAATTTGCAAAACAAACGGATACATACAATGCTCTATGACCGACATAATAAATGCACTCAATGGAATCAATTTAACTCATGTAGTTATTATTATAATATGACAGTTTTTTGAATTTTTCAAATTAGGATTTTTACTCATTTTCTTTGTTTCTTGGGTAAATGTTAAACTTGTGTGAACCTGTATAAATATGATTACTTATTTAGCAATTAAGTTATCTTAACAACAACACTACTGTATACTCAATGCGATTGCATTTTGCCCTATACAATGGCAATATATCGCACCTAAAAAAAAAAAGCAATTTAAATCTAGCTTGAAGCAACAACATATGACAGCTGCTTTTCTAATTTGGAAGAAGTATGCTATTTCGTCAGCAGATTCGCGTAAATAAATTATAGCCCACGTACTAAATACTCGACCCTGTCCGTCTGCTTGTGTTTCAGGAATGCCCAACGGTATTTCAAGATCTTGCCTCTCTACGGTTGCAGTTCTCCGAACTCTGCAAAGCGGTTCAGGACACGACGGCCATGCTAGCCAGCTATTGCGAACAAGAACACTGCCAGAACCCCTTATTCCGCCTAATGGCAGGGTATTTCTCTCAGACGACCTCACTCTGGGCACAATGGCTCATGCACGTTTGCACTCAAGTCGACGGGCCGAGCATTCAACAGACTCTGACCCGTTTTCAAGCGAAGACCGTTGTATCTCAACAGCAGCTAACATCGGATCTCTCGTACCTTGCGCAGAAATTGAGCGTATGCGATGTTGAACACGATGACGGTCTAGGCGGCGCTTTGTCCGCTAGTGTTTTACATCCGCGCGTTCTCTACACTTTAACTGAGTCTCCCGCAGCCCAACGTCTTATTGGAATGCTTGATAACTTTAAAATCGACGTCCTACCCCGGTTATTGGCTTTTTCCGACTTCGACGTTGTCAACTCACCACTTGTACCCGTCGTGGGCGAAGGAATGGAGCTTCTGTCGAGTATGGTAGCTACCGCCGAGTACGAAGTGATTGCAGACAGGCTTGAGGCCGAGTATGAGGCTGTTATTGCTGCCGCGGCCAGTCAGCGTCAGCAGACAACGTTTTCTGTAGCCACACCGGTATCCGGTGTTGACAGTACCTCCACAACAGCTGCTTCTTCGGTTACGGGAACTGCTCTACAGCCACTACTGCTTGTAATGGACTCGCTGTTCGGAGAGCTCCGTTTTATTGACAAACTGCAATTGATCCATGGACTATTCACAGCTGTACAGAGCGCTGTGACGGGGGGTGTTAGCCGGCTTGAAGCGGCGTGTGGGGTAATCGAGAGTTTGATGATCGCGCCTCTCCTCTTAACGGAAGCTTCGCCAGAAATGTCGGCGACTGGTGAGGAACGAGCAACGGTAACAGCAAGAATTCCCATCGAGCGCGTTGTTGTAGACCATCAAATAATCACGGCGTTAATGGGACTGGTGCAAAGTGTCTCCGAGGAACCGATCTTTGAGTTGCCAACGATCGAATCAGTTCTGGATAACATCGGTAGGCCATCTACGCACTTTGTCTTATCGGGTTAGAAGACTTAAGTTTTACGGTTTTGTCTTCCTGATCGTACTCCTTTGGTTTACATGGTAAATGCTTAGATTTACCTATAACAGTTTTTCATGATATGTGTATTTCTAGGAACAAGATGACACAAAACAAATAGTATAAGAATTAATGTGCCTGTCTCTATTGTAGGTAATGGCAGTGAGGCAGACTTGTGCATTCGAGCTGACCTCCAAGATGCTGTTGGTCGAACTCGGGCGGCCGTTCTTGAGGTGACGAATGCTGGGATGGCAATGTTGTCCAATCCGTCGTACGCTCGGGTGGCAGCCAAGCCAGGGGTCGCCAGTGAGCTTGCAGCTGTCGGCATTGAGGTCACTAACCTAAAAGACGCCCTTCTGGACTCTATTTCCCAGCAGGTGCAGGTCCTTCAGGCACAAGTGCAGCGATATTGGCACCCCATCGGGTTAGTAAAAACAACGTATAAACATGAAGTAGTAGGTTAAAATTTTGTCGCAACGTGTGTGCCTACTGATCCACGGAAAAACTTAGGGACGTGCGAGATGATCTAGGTTTGAAAGCATGCATAAATATGCCGCTTTATGTTGGGCACCAGCCATCTAAAGCGATGTCTAACGACGATGTCGGTTATAAAAGCTCGGGACTTGACTTAGCATGAACTTTGTTATTATTTTCTAGCTGATCTCTTTCGAGGCTAGTTGGCTTCTCTAAATTGGTAACCATTAATTACTTTCCTAATTTTTTCAGCTTCCCATCTTTCTACACCGCAAGTAAAACCTTTTAGATGCTTTTTTAATTTACCGATACTAATTATAGATTTGATTTTCACTATTATATTCGCTTATTGCGTAATCGACAGAATGGCGTTGGTCGACGCAGATGTAAAGCTTCAGGAGCTTGTTGACCTAACGGCCTCGGTTCGCCACGCTGAGCCCACCGAGTTCTTACTGAAAAACGCGAACTGGCCACAGCTGTCGTTCAATCCCGTCCAGGTAAGGCTGAACTTTTATCAAACGGCAGTCAGCAGCGATACTGTTTTTATCAATCCCATAAAAACGTATTGTGTAGTTTTGTAAAGTAAAATTTAGTAAGAGTTTGACCCTGCGTGCGTTACTGATTTGTCACTGCGACACCCCATAATAATCAAACAATTGTAAAGCGGTTCACTCAGTGTAATTAGCGCCTGAAATATAAATAACAATGTTATACATTGATTATGGCACAGGTATGTTTTGATACAGTTGGGCAGTTCAACAATACTTGTCAGTTTGCGTTGCGTTCGTTCGCGGGTGGCCAGCCGGGACAAATTGACCTGCCAATGTTACATGAAGCGTCGTCGCAGATTGGAGAAATCTTCCACGCCGTACAGCAACTGGTAGAGCGACTGCTTGCATACAAGGTCAGTTGAACTGAATTAGTGTTACTGCAGACCTTACCAATAAATGGGAATAAAATAATAAGAGGTCAATAGTTAGTGATTATATGACGCTAAATTTAGCCAGACATAAGTATGATAGGTACGTCTTAGGGGTTCAGATAAACTACCAGAAACCAGCAAAAAGCATGGCTCTTAAGGTCTGCGGCAGAGTATTTTCATTGAGAAAGGGCCCTGTTATTTTCAGGTAGTTGAGATCGAAAGCAAAAGGGAAGAGCAGCGTAATCGTCAGGGCATGCTAATATGGAGACGCGTCCGCGCTAAACTTGAGGGTCGGGACACACACGACAAATCGCACCTGACTGTCGGACAACAACTCGAGAAGGTTATCCACGAGGCTACATCGATGGAGAACCTAGCCCTTATGTACGAAGGATGGACGCCTTGGGTCTGAACAACTCGGAATACATAGCGACTTTGATGCTCAAAACGGAAGCGTTCCAGTCGAGACAAGGAACAGCGAATGGTTCTGGATGATATCAACCAAATAGGGACTGCGTTCCCTCATTATTTAGGGGAGTCAACAATGTCGATACGAACACGAACGACGAGCTTGTCACGTGTTCGTATGCAATCAGTGCTTGCCGAGTCTCTCTCCCGAGTCGCACTGCGAGTGCAATATAGGATGACTCTCAACGCAGACTTGAAACCCTGCCGTGAGGTCATCTGCTACGGATGCTTTTCGCACTGAACGAATGCTATTCATTATAGATCCAACAGCAGCAGTAGCTTTGCATATCGCGTGTATGGCTGGTAAGCTCCACCTACACGGTGTTGACCGATGGGTTGAAGTTGACTTCGTCCATCGTTTTCGCCGTATGTATATCGGAAGCCCGCCTTGAGAACGGCGTTTAAAATTGCTGTCAGCAGATATCTGTTGTTTCTTCCGTAAAGAAATTGTTGAAATCGCACCACAGAGCGTACCGCAGCCACTAGGGCTTGTTCGGTTATAGAGAGTTTGTATAAAGAGGCGCTTATTATGGGGTGCTTACTTTCGTATTCGTTTCGTCGCTATATCTTCAAAGGTTTGCATCTGAAGGAGTTATAGTAGCAGCGCGTTCTCTTACCATAATTTTTCATTAACGAGTCGAACTGCTGGTTATGAATCGGTTCATTCTCTTAAATAAAAGTGGACACTTTTAAAATATTGATTAAATACTTTGCATTGCTAAGAAAGCCGTACCTCTCTATGTTCGCTGGTTGCAGGTTCATACAAGTCGCTATGTCTACATGTTCAAAATGGCGACGTTTATGACAATGTCTCTACTGTTGTGCTTTCCCCCTCTGCAAAAGGCTATTATGTGAGAATATATATACGCCTTTTTCTGTGTATACACGTGATTCCTTAAATAGGAATCGCTGTACCTTCAGTTACTGCATCGTGTTCATCTAGGACAATGTTGGTCGTGTTTTATATTTATCATTGCAACTAAGCTCGCCGGCATATTGACTTGCTGTGGTGCTCTGGCTCAAGACCAAAAAGCAACGTTCATTTTAGAAAGCTCTATCGATTTCTGATCGTTCTCATGGGCAAACATTTCCTACATACATCACGTGTATCAGACGAGTTCTCTATGGAAATGAGGTTACGCCTATTTTTTTTTCTGATTTATATATAATTTGTCGTAAACGTTTTCGATAATCCGAGAACACCTCAGCCGAATGTGCAACGTGAACACTTTAAAACGGAGTTAGCTATAACAGGAGCTGATGTAAGTCAGATGATGGTATTTCGTCTAGAAGAGTGTGTCTATTTCAATATGTGTTATTAGAGTATAAACTAGAAAAGCGAGATTTGGGTAGACCTGAAGAAAAATTTATTAGCAATGGAAACTAGGTTATCCTACTATTTATATCCGCAAAGTCAGCTTGTTCGATTTTTTCTACTTTAGAAAAAATCGAACAAGCTGACTTCTTCAATACAATTTCGGTAGACGATTCATAAATCCTCGGTATAACATCGTTATAATAACATATATATATTTTGTTAGGTACATTTATAATTAACTAACCAACGACTGCTAACGTTCGGCGTCTTTTTTATCACTTGGTAATTGTTGGTTGATCAAATTTGGTTCGAGACGGAATATTTCTCTCCTTGAGCAATATATCAAAAAGTAAATAGCAAAAGCGGCAAGTAAGGCTAACTACTAATTTTGCAACGAACTTCAGTCCATACAACGAGCGAGTAGTACGGAGATGACCTCTAATTATTTGAATTGGTAACAATATAGGGACAAATGGGCCTCTCCGCCCCTTACGCAAGCAATGCCATATCGATTTTAGCGAATGCTTCTATACTTGAGCGCGCGCATATTGGGTGGGTGAAAAAGCTTAACGGCAAGCTTCAAGTGAAACCAACGAAGACTTACTAGCCATTGATTAAACCGTAATATTTATAACTTGAAAGAGGAGATGCAAACGAAATATACGTATTGGTCCTAATGCCGATATACGATTAGTCTTTACTACTAGTGACGTATTATATTTAGCGTGTTTGTATCTCGGTTTGTAGCGCAACGTAACTATGCAGCAACGTTTGGAATACGTTTTTGTTTATTAACAATAATTAGCGGGGATAACAAATAAATTAATTACATTTATATCTCACTATGTACATTTATTATATTTTACTACTGACAGTGCCAATCTAGCAAAGATCCCGTAAAAGAGACGTGCCATGGCACAAAAACACGCGTTTGTTCATATATTTATATTCAAATATATAATCATATTCAAATCCTCAATCCAAATAACCAAACTCAAAAATAGTGTCCGATAGTACGCGGGTTCACTTATTTTCACGACGATGAGAGATTCGTAGGCCTATATTCTTGTTAGAGCATTATTAAAGCCATCAGTTGAAGCCAAGTCACTTCTTCTGTCACGTCGAGGCACCAAGTTGGTCTACCGTCTTTCCTATTAATTAATTTTCTCGCCTTGTGCGCTTTTTTCGTTACCGACTCTTGTTCTAAACATTTTCTTCGATCCTCCTACATAGATTCTAGATAATGACAATTTTAATTAGCACAACAAGGGTGGTGGCCCTCGTCCAGAAGGTGTAATTTCTGTCTCTTAGTTGATGCGCGCGCAAATGTCACACAACACTCGTGGCTACGAGGGTCTCCCCCGTCGGAGCTTTACAGGGCTTACTCCCTGAACCATGTTATGACTATTTTTGTGCGCATGTTTTCACCGTCACCTAGGCGCATGCTGTAACAACTCGTCTCGTCGTGACCTACCAATGAGCATTAGCGATTTCGGCCATGGTAAAATGGCCGAAAAAAAATAGAGCCATAAAGAACGTTTGCCTGCAACATTTATTCTATAAGTGCATTTTCCACACATTTAGCTCGACCAAATGTGTTTTCCGTATGAATTTAAGTGACAGCCGTGCCTGTGTGTTTGGGTTATCGCTTTGAATATTCTTCACACGCGTCATTTTAGACCTCGACAATCGTAGTTGTGTTGCTACTATAGTTTCTCTTGTGATCGCTATAAATCTGTTTCAGGTTGTGCCTTGCTCTATTGACTTATTTAATTATTTACCTATATGTACTAGGGAGCGTGGTTGTTGTCATCAATGCTTTACGGTAAGCCAATTAGCCAGGTTCATCTTCCGCGTTTCGAGTCTACGACCAACAGCTTGCGACTGGACAGCTGTTCATGATGAACCAACTTCACAAACGGGTTGAAGAGAGCCATCACAGGTATATCGTCACTCTACTGCGAACGTTTGTCCTCTGTTTAGTCGCGTGACACTGCGTAGTGGCCGTGTCGATGCAAGCGATCGTCCATCGTTAGCTGAGATTCGAGGTCATGCTGCTACTGCTAGCGCTGGATGCCTCGATAATGGCGGGGAGAGTTTGGCAACTCTCCCCGCCATTATCGAGGTTCACGTAGAACAATGACGACCGCCCCTATGCTAACTTCGACAAATGCTGAATCATCCTTTTAGTGGACACAGAGAGGTACGTCTCATTACAGTTACCTGATACAATGAATCCTACGTGTGTATGAATGAACACTTCATTCAGTTAATGACGAAGCGCAATGATACTGAGTTCATATGCAGCCACGCTTTGTTGAGACACGTCAGCTAAAATGGCAGGTAAGAGATGAGTAAGCTTCTAAGCTTACTCGGAGATCTAAGCAATCTAGTACGCCATGTGATATTGTCTCTATTGAATAATAGGAATCGGATGAACCTACCGGGATAGACCATTAAGGCAAATCATTTATTTTTCTCACAAGGAGCGGGGATGGGATCAATTTTTTCCCAGAAAGTAGATGCGGAAGATAACCTAAACGTGGAATAGTCTCCAAAAAGGATGTATCGTTGATATGCTCTGGCCGAGTATGGGTTATCAATGCAAAGATCCGACAGCTTAAGAAACGATTGGTAACAAAGGCTGCCGCAAATATTTTGACTAACTTTGTAAAATATACATACAGCCGCTGCTTTTTGTCCAGTTATCCGTGGGAGGGGGGTGCAGGCGATCTTTCATAGTTTTGATAAGCTCACATTTGTTCTACGTCGCAGATGGTTCTTGTTAGTTGCACTGACAGTCTAGCAGCTCTAGGTTTCCAACTTCTCCATACGAGCGTCACGTTTACGAGTGTCGTACATCAATTTCAGATCTGGAAGTAGCGCATATTTTCAGCTAATGACTGTGGTTTGAATCACCGTAATAAAGGAACATGAACAAAAACAAACTATAAATTGCTCTTCAATAACTGGCTATGAAAGGTACGGGAAAGGAGCTTTGTTGAGGAAATAGACATTAAATTGCGTGAACCGTTTTTTTAGATCGTAAGGCTATACCAGCCATATTGGAACAACTCCAGAATAATTAAAATAAATCGGCAAGCACATGCGAACTCTCTGCGCTGTACCATCTATGATGTACGTTATAGTTCGACAAAGGATTGTGATAAGTTATGGCAACTATTAGAACTTACATTGCGTCACACACAGTCAGGTCATACGCTTGAGGGGAATCATACGTTTCTATATTGCTAGGCAAGATGATGGCTCGATACTCGATAACGCTTGCGGGCGATGCCGCTAGCTCTACCTGAATATCAAAATTGAATTAGCGTTTCGCCATAAACGACCACGTTGCGTCAGGACCAGGAATCGCTTAGTGGCCTAAGCTTTAACCAAGTTACAATGACGCTGCAGAAGCGCTGTTCAGCTATCGACCAGCGTATCATTAAAATCAAGATATCCTGCGTTTACCAAACAAGCTTTATTTCCACAATTTAATTTTCTGAACCTTAACATATTACTAAGTAAAGCCTTTAGCTCATCATGCTAGAATTGGCGGTCTGTATGAAGCGTTTGAGAAATGCTGATACGACGTCATACACGTACACTGGCGCATAGTGCTGAGAAGTTTCAGCTCGAAAAGAAAAGGCTCGATGTTTGATACGTGCATAAATAGCGATACTTTCGATAAAATTGTTTATTTTATATCACTGTCAATTTATATTACTCTATTAAATGTACACGAGTTTGTATTTTTAAAGCAACGATTTATTACACGTATATTTGTATGCACTTTCCGTTCCATATCCTCATTTTTACTAAAAGCTTTAGTTTTAAGAATACGGCCTTGTTTTGCCGCACTCCGTCATTCTAATAATAATACTTTGGTTTTTTAACGGTCGCTCTGTGTTCGCTTACCAACGCCATTGCTTTCGTAACTATATCCACTCTTAGCACGAGACTTCCGCACTGCGGCACTGTACAATCTGTTCAATCGAACACGTTCCAGTGTCTTGGCATCCAATTATCCAGATCGTTGCCACATTTGATCTTTTTCGACATGATTCGAGGGCTTTTTGATACACAAGCACTAGTCCGCGCTGCATACGTCCAACGGTAATATGCCATACGGAATACGTTAGTGCTTTGATTGCCATTGAGGCCCGGCAGTTGTCGACGAAAGGCGGGGGGTCGAGTTGATGACCAGAAGGCCATTCTTTATTCATTGCCATTCAATACTCATTGCCGCGAATGTTTGGTTGTTCGAAAATTTTAGAAGAAGTGGCGTTGTTATTAAAGAAAAAAAAAAATAAACTCATGTTGCTGATGATGTACTCAAATTTAAGTTTGGCGGAGAGAGTCTATTAAATAAGAAAAAAAAAAAAAACGTATCGTTTGTTCGTCCATGCCGCACGTATTCAGTAAGATCCAGCTATGTGAGCTAGTACCTGTCAGTCATATTATTGGCCCTACTAAATTCATCTAATATATATGAATTAGATGAGCATATATTCTAAGTATACAGAAAAAATTCGACAGTGCTTGCTAATAAATAATCTGCCTAAGAATATTACAGATATGGATTTTAGCTGTGGTAATGTTATGGCTTAATAATCTTGAGATAAATAATGTACGATGCGTATGAAAACGAATCTGTTGAAGCTTGTCTTTTTATAGGCGACAGAGTTTGATTTTAAAATCCACTTGTTTTTTTTTTCAAATTTTACTTAAATGATACACTCTCCATTTCAATTTTTTCTTTAAATTTTTAGCAGATTACTTTGGCCATTTTTAGAACAATTTTTTTAATCCTTTTAGCCGTACAGGTCGCATCTCTAACTCACAGGCATTCTGAATCGATTCGATAGTAAACGGCACAATCACGTAAACTATTATATTTGCTAGATACTACGATCATTTTAATAGCCTTAACTATATATAATTAGCGTTAAAATGTAAGGCTACAAGGTCATGTATAACTCAGGTTTCGATAGATGACACTTAGCTCGACGAATTATAAAGCCGATTATAATTTACTAGTCTTTTTCGGGCGTAAAGAATGAATCTAAAATTTATAAATATGTTTAGTCTGGGTTTGAAGACACGAATAAGCGTTGTTTTTATATGTCGTTCTCCAGGGCGAAGGCTTGGCTGTCAAAAATGTTTAAAAGGCTCGAGTATCTGCGGCAGTTGACGGGCCTATCATATCAAATGTACCTAATGGATGCATCGAGAATTTTATTGCGGCTACGGTGTGATAAAGTCCCGATTCCTTTTCACGATCCGTCTCTTAGTATTGCCTGTAGAAAAATAACGCCTTTCCTAGTTTTTCAAAATTGAGTCCGGTGCACCCAACTTGAAAGCTATAATGGCTATATAATCGAACAGGTTCGTCTAGTTCTCGACGAGTTACCTACTCGCTGTCAATCAACGAGCGTGTCTCAAGTGAAAAGCATCCTTGAGATCGCACCAAAGTCAGCGGCAAACTTAAAGGGACAAAAGTTTTTTATAGTCCCTTTATCATCATTCGTAAACAGATAGTTTTAACGAATCATTTGATAGTCTTCGTAGTACATTATTGTAATGTATTATAATAATTCCAGTCGTGTGATGTCTGCCTAAGACGTACATCCTAAACGCAACTTTCTGAAGTGTCCGTCATTGACGATACGTTGTCCTGCTCTTGTCCACCTCATACGTAAGACTGTGTGCAAAACCCGGACCCGCATGACATTGGACCGAGTTCTCCTATATTCGATATTGCATTTCATCTGTGTTTTGACATTTCAATAACTGATTGTATGAGTAAGATTAAAGATTCGTGATGTCATCCGTGGACAACGAGTGGCGGAAAAAATAAATGGCGCCGTTTCAATGAGGAAGAACCTATACGCTCTGCTAATATTCTGATCGATGTCATACTTGAAGCTCTATGCCGGTATCTGCCGTTGTGTCTTTACATTCGAATGGGTCTGCACATATAGAAATTACCATAGATTTATCCTAATTAGCTAAGCAGGAAACACAAAGCGAACCAATCCAATATCGAAGTTCCACAGTGAATGCTATGGTTTTGATACCGAGGTAGTCATCTCCACTTTACATTGGTTACCTTTCGTAGACACCAGCGTTTAATTGGTAAACCAATTGGTAAATTGAATAATTAAAATACATCACTGATAGTTTCTTTTTCTTTTTCTTGCCCAACACAAGTCCGAACAAAAAGGGATGTAAGCAAAAAGATGAAACGATTACACTGTTTCACTGTCAGTAATTTCCTGTCTGCCTCTATAACCAGTCTGCCCCTATAACCATTGTTGATCGTATCACTTATTCATATCGATAACTTACACAAATGCCCACAGTCGCCGTTATCACAGTACATCATAACATGATAAGTAACATTAGTTAATGTCAACAATTTGACTGAAACTAAGAACTTCAGAGTTTAACTTTGTAACCAAACATATTTTTTAGATACAGATGTGCTCATTTAAAGGAAGATAATGCAATCAAAAATTAAGCCGAACATAACTTTCTCAGTTTTAAGTCTGTGATCATCTATCATCAGATAAATTCGCATGGTCAATGCGTGTCTATCAATTTCTCCACAGAACCTTTTCTCCTTTTGATAACGATGAATCAGCCGTTTCCACCGGCGAGCTTGTGGTTGAACGGTGGCGATTACGGCAACGGACTGTCGAGGCATTTATTAGTTGAGTCATTGCTCTGCCTGTCTTGCTGAAGCCCTTTAATCTTGTTTATGGTACCTGGAAGTTACTCATGATCAGTAGCAGACGTTAGAAAAACAAGTTTCGCAACGCAACATACATGCTTTTGTGTCAAGCTCACCTGCTTAGTATTGCCATCTCGCGAAGTGCTCGAAGAAGCCACCGTCGTAATGGGCCCGCGCGGCCTTTACCTACCTACACTACAGGCTTAACACATCATTCTGCTCAACAGCTTGAGCAAATGTGATAGTTATAATGTCACTATGGTGGTCCACTATGGTGGAGTTGCCACTTTACGGTTTCATTTGTGCAAATAGATTGAAATCGACTTCCCGTCCGCCTAGCAGTGAGACATGAGAAATCTATTGATGGCCTCTCGTTCTTACTCGAGTCGAGACATGGACCGTCCACCGTTTCCATTGATAAATCACTATCGTTTCATGGCGGTAATAGGTCAGACGACAGTACACAGAACTGATAAAACGGTCGGACCGAAGACCGGTCACCCCTTGAGGCGTATTTTGCTTTGACTGCCAACGAACAGAGCAGTAATGGTGATAGTAAAAGAAATCCTTGGCCCAGAAGCCGGCGAAGTTGACGAGTTACACGGTCTAAGTGGCTAGTCTGAGCAATCATACAGCCGTTGCTGGGCAAATTGATCTCTTTGGTGTCCTGTAGCACTGTGTACGTAACCATACCTTTCACCGAGAAAAGTATATATGTACAGGTGAAGCCACATTGCAAATCGTTGGCGAGATTCAACAGCACGGCAGATTGATAAGCGATTGTCTATGGGACGATTTCTCTTAAGAAGGCCGTACGAGTGTTGCTCTCACACTATCAGTAGGGTAAGCAAGAAACGCTACGATAAGAGGGCGCGTCAGCTCTCTTATGGATCACAGCTGTCATCGTCTGCCGTTGACTGATGTTCTTTCAAATACGCGCAAAAAAAGCATCAATTTTCGACTGCTGGGCTTAATCGTATCTAGTAATAACTCGGGTTTATCACTTTTCAATCAACGTTTAGTGTATTCTACACTTAGCAGGTCTGCTGTTCCTTCATCATACTAGCCGCAGTCCGCGAATCCCATCGTCATTATCGTCGATAGCAGCAGTCTTCGGATGCTCGGCCTGAAATGGTGAATGTGCATAAAGTTTGGTGTGACGTATTCGGGACAGACCTATCGATGTAGCAGGGTTGTTACCTAGTAGAGCAGGCGAAGCCTTGAAAAACCTTGCCAGCTCGCTACTATGGAAGGAGTATTGGTTCAGTGGCCGCTGGCAAACACATCGTGATGCGCGCCAGCATCCAAACATACGGACACTTTCCGACATGTTCATAGACAAAACACGATCTATAGAAGTTAACTTACGAGAATCAGACGGAGGAGGCTACACGTGTAAACAATTTTCAAGCCCTAGTAGATAAACAGCCTCTCATAGCGACTGAGTGGACAACTAACTACTGAAGCGTTGCCAGCACTCGACTCGGAACGACGAGGTAAACACCGGAGGAGATGTTGGCCAAACAATTCTTGGAGGAACAGATCTCATTGACGACACGGCTTATCGCTTGGGACAGGACGATAGTTACGCATCGCGCAACAGTTTCTTTACCATTAATATTCTCCGAGTACTAAGTGTGATAAAAAAAAAATAAGTACTTAAGTGTGATAAAAGTCTGCGCTGTTACGATCAGTGACACTAAATGAAAAAACAAACAGGAAGGATATCTGCTCGAAAAAAAAGGTTCAGGTGGAAAGTTGTATCACACTGCTGGGTACTATGTGCGTGGATTGTGCTGGCTTCAGCGTTAACCGCAAACCACGAGTCAGGACGTTTATGAATATTCTAAATGACGCGACATTAATCAACGGAAGTTCATACGGTAAGGGTCGTACATACTGTCAAAGTTCTCTATATCTAAATCTAATCGTTGCTTGTAACTATTGCTTGTCTTCGTAATAATGAAGTGGGGACGTGTTAACCCAGTGAACTTACGAACGCGTGAGGTAGTTTACGTTTGAAATTGAATCTAGCCACGTTTTGTTTACTTGTAGAAGAGACCAGCCGCCGTCCAAAGCGTTGAGTAATAGCTGAGAAGCCGGACATGAGAATCTTCCACTGTAATATATTATCCGACACTGAAATAGCTCTGCATCGTGGAATAACTATCAATGTGATGTATGGCTTAAGTACCCATCTAAAAAATGAATTAGAATTTGAGTCGTACTATTACCATAGTATAGGAGAACTATTAAATGCGGTCCGTTCTTGAATATACTGAACGTCGCGCAGAATTCCGCCTGGGGCGACTTCGGAGTGATTTTTGTCATTGAAACCGCGCTAGCCATTATTACAAATAACAGTAGTCTACATATGGCCATTGGTTAAATTAGCATTATAAATGTAGATAAGAATATCTATGTCGGTGCACGTGGACACTTAACAGACCATTGGGTTTGTTTTTTCGCGTTGCTTTCGCCATCACGTAGAGTTATTTCTCCATATCGTGGTTTATGTCGGCTTGCCCAGCTACTCCAGAAGATAGTGTACTGCGAATCAAATGTCCTCGATCCTCATATGGAGCACGAAAAATGGTTAAAGTTATCGAGCATCGAATATGTCTACAGTACAGTTGGCAGGGTGTATTTCGCGAAGAACGCGACAGAGTGATTTTTTTGTGAAGTTTTTCCGAAGTTCTCATTCTGATTGGCATGAATCAGTAGCGACCTAAACTACGACTACGGAACAAATTCATCGAGAGGGGATGAAAATATTTGTCCTTGTCGGAAGTGCTACATGGGACACCTTGGGTTCAAGGGAATCCAGAGGTTTAGATCCACTATATCCTATGGAAAATGGTTGATCCCATTTAGTAATTCTAACATCTTTACGACTGGAAGGCGCTTTGATGGGCACCGTAGGGTATCTTGCGAAGAGCATGCTACCTATGTATTCACACTAGTTCGGTTACCTTAAAAAATGTTAGCGGGAGCCGTCGTCGCTAACCTTAAAAATGAATCATGTTTTTTTATCAAACATAATACAGTTATAATCTCTAAAACAGGTGCAGCAGTGAAATTGCCTGCAATAGCGATGTTTTGTTACCGAGAACCAAATGTCGTCTTAGGCCCCTGTTATAAAGAGGGGCGGTTTCCTCGCCCATATATCGCTGAGATCAGTTGAGGTTTTATTTTAGGTCAAGGCACTTCGAATACTCCCAAAAGTGTATATGGAAAGATTTTTAATGGGGTGAAATTTAGGCAAATAAATGTTTTAAGGATTCGTAAAGTATACATAAAAATAACGCATGGTATCTTGAATTTTGGACATTTCGAATAATTGTGCCAATAAAATTTCTTAAGAGAATTGCAGATTTGCCGTTTTATCGAAGATCGTGAGCAATTCGTGACTTTTTGTTGCTAGCAAGCTGAATAAGCACGTTCTGTGAACAATCGGCTATTATCTTTCACTTCACGATCACCGGCTCTTGGGGTCTATTGTGTTGAACCCATGCTCGTAACGGGTAAAATCCTCAAAATGACAATCCTTTTATGTTCAATGTATAATGAAATGCTTTGTAGAAATCAAACAATAGAAGATCTTTGCTGATTCCTCAATAGCACTGTCCGGCTCGTTGCAGGGATCTAATGTTTCGATCACAACAGCAGTTATCTTGCGCATAGCGATGCCTTACTCTAGTGGTATTGTTTTTGCATTTACCATTTTGTATCAATTTTAGATGACATGACAACCGGGTTGTGGGTATGTCCCTGTTGCTAAGGCACTGGGATCCGGTAATTTCATTTTGTTTTTTTTTTCTAAGCATAAAGTAACTGGTACAACAATAACATACCTTCACAATCGAACACTGGTTAGAACATCCGCAATTATATGAATGAAAGATGTATCCAACGGTAGTAAAGGCTGGGTTTACCCTATTATTATTATTAAATCAGCCTGACTGTATGCTGATTTAATAAATATTCCCGTTAATCGAACATACCTGAAACAATTTTCACTTATTATAAACCTCGAAGTTAACCCGCTAAATGTATCACATCAATCTAACAACATATCTGCTCGTGCAAACTGTTCCGACCTTTAGCACGATCGTGCAACGCCACTAACGATATCATCAAAAATATAGCAGTACATGAAGATTATTCATATCTCTTTATAAAAATAGCAGACGGTTAACTAGCGTGATCGGGATATCTTAATTTCCTAATCTATTCTTCCCATATCGACAACACTGACCTCTTTATTCCAAGTTAGTGGCCAGGATCGTGAACGACCGAGTTCTCTCACGGCTATAGATTCCTATAATAACTACCGCTTTTACAATTAAAATGCACAATATACTTGTTCTCTGTTTAGAGAAGGAAAAAGTTTATCTCTTTATTCAACAAAATGATCCTCGTATTAGCAAATTCTAGCAAAGATCTAACAATCTAGCAATTGACGGGTAAGTCAACCAGGTCCAAGTAATAATCTACGTGCTGCTAAATAGCACTAATCATTAATAATAATAATAATGATGGCATCATTGAGTATTGTAAACCTATAAGCCAGTCACTTCTTATTATAGTGTCTTTCAGTGCCTTTCTCTAAGCCTTCTTCTAATTAGACGAGGCGCACTTGAGCGTTACCCATTCTTGCTATAAATCTACATATTATATGTGTACTTTATGCAGAAACGACAACTAAATTGGAACCGTCAGGGGGTCTTGGTTACAGGGAAACCTCATCTTGAGATAGCCATTCTTTTTGATGAAGACAAGTAATTAGCAGTATGACAAGTGTAGGTAGAAATCAATATATAAATGATATTAATTTTTCGTTAGGTCAAGGGCCTATTGACCACTACGGGTTGTCCTAAAGATGCCTGTCTCGTAGCCAATTTGCAGCAAAAATTAGAGATCAAAGCTTAATCATAAGTGCAAATATTGGTAACATAGCACAATAATAAAATACAATTATTTTGAGTATATTTATTTGTTTTTAATCTGTAAAATAAGAACGTGTAAAGAGAGTGCTGTTCATGTTGTTTTAGTAATAGACTGGGTGAAACCTAATGTATATGTGCTACGATAAAAAAAAAACACTTTTAAACGTAATGTTGACAAACGTAGTGCTTAATCCCTACTCAAACTGGTTAAACTAGCCGTGTAAATGGTCAATATGCTTTCCTCGTCGGCGCAGGGAAAAATTAAAAACATTACCATATTTACCTAAACATCGGACGAAAATAAACAGTAAGCAGCAGCAAATCCTATTTTAGCACCCAATTAAAGCACTGGTGTGCATTGGGCACTATCTTCCAATATTTCATTACCTATTATTCGTAGGCAGCGAATGGGGCACAGAAAAAATACACAGAATCCGTTGTGCCCGTTAGGCTTCCAGGAATTAATTTCTTATCATTAATTGCTTTAATGGCAACAAAATAAGCTCGAGTATGTTATTAGTAGAGCAGTTCTAAAACGAAGTTATGCTTCTTCAATATCTAAGTTTTTCATGACACACAATTGGGTCCGGCTGTATTGTATGCCGTGCCATTACGACCGTAGAATTGATAATTGCCCGTATGACATATATTTCTAATTTTGTAAGACATACACTACTCAAACGGAAATTAAGGGTACCCCGAATTCTGTTTACTGTCATAGTCAGTCACCTAAAAGGGAAGAAAGTACGCACTAAATGGAACGAGCAAGTTAGCCATTTTTATAGGCGGGATTGTCGCTCGATCTGATTTAATAAAAGATTTAAAGCTGTATAGTGGTCGGAACTACAACTTGTTATCACAGGATTCGTCAAATACTGCAAATTGAGCTGGTCTAAAAGTGGCATAAAGACAGTATGATCATGATTAGATCAAAATTGTTCTGCTGGGGCAAAGACAAACCTTGGGATTCCACTGATTTTCTCGGGCACATTTTACCATTTGCCTATGAGGCGCACACGCTAAAAAAGTGAAAAGTAATTAAATCAAGTAACCAATGCTTGTTTAGGTTAGGCATGGTTTAGTGTCGAATGGACCACTTTGAGGTAATCGCACTTTAAGGCTTTAAGTTAGAGAGCATTGACGAGACGGGAAGCGCACTTAATCTATGCACAAAGAAATTATAATGTCAAAATTTTCATGGTAAGCTTTTTCATAGCGGCCACAATCATCTACCTATCTTAGTACTTGCCTTCTAGAACCACTGGAACAGTAGGGCATCTTGTGATGGCTGCTTGCGATACGCTTTATTTACCGAGAGCGTATACCATGCGATAATCCTAATCTGTCGTTTTTCAATTAGCAATAAAGTGAGAAAACCATTAATCTAACTAAAATAAGCACTATACTGTTTAATGTTTGGAAATCGGCATGTCAACGCAGGTACCTCACCGGTAATGACAGCGGGCGCTGCAGGAGTGGGGATAGATGATCCTCATCACATCTTTACGTGCTTCAATTGTTGGCAGGTCAAGGATAGCCTATGGATTGTGTCACATGCAGTCGATACGAGCGCTGTTGACGAGTGTCTTTGCTGCGCTCAGTGTCTGTGTGGGAATCTTATCGATCCCTCATTTGCCAGAGACCGGAGAATAACTTTGAGGTAGGAAATTCACATGTTTGCTGTGAATAAGTTCGAAGCGATGGTTTACTCCCCGTAGGGCCAGGCTATAGGTATTATACAGTAATGTATAAGCACTGCTTTTTATGGGATGCTTTGTTGTTTGTACCGTTATCTACTATTACGCTGTCATTGCTACCGTAACGCAGCTTGTCTGCCCCTGTATTCGATACCCATTGTGATGTCTATTATAGCTACGCCGTCTACGGCGAACCCCACCAAAAGCGTCTGGCGCTTGACTAGCCTTATCCTTAACTGTGGCTTAGGCACTGCCACATATATTGAAGGGGCTGAAAGCAAAAAAATCCTAAACATAAACATTCGTTTAGTAACCAGCTAGTTTCGTCGGAAGCGTTCAACAGGACCTTCTCTATCTTTCGGCTTAGATTCTGTTGTAACGAATCCATCCCAGAAAAATAGTCTGGGTTTTTAAGGATAACCATTTCTAATGATCGATTCAAGTGTGTCATTTCTATCACCGCTGGTGCTGCTGCTGCCAAGGCTTTCTGTTTTTCGTTGACGGGTATATTCCATTGTTTGCCAACTCAGTAGGTTCTAAGCTAGAATTAAGTAAACAAAAAGTTCATAATCACCCTCGTAGTACGGTTGCGCGACTACAGGCCTCTGTCACAGAGCTGGATAACTAGAAAGGGCTGGATTACCGTGTCTTTATGAATCAGCTTCGTTTAAACCTGTTAGGTTCTATATGCCGTAGGTTTCATACGTTTGAGTGCCAAGGCCCTGCCGATTTCGCTCCGTAGAATTTAACGCCTTTCTTATGTTTAATATTTTATGTCTGCGCAAATGGACATGCGGGAATTCATTTAAATCAGTTCTTTTCGCGCTTTGCTTACGGCTTCGTAGGTGTGGAGGTGATGGCTGTCAGCTGCAATTGGATGCCTGGACCAAAGGATCTAAGTTAGTCACCTCGTTGGTAAAGGATCACACAGTGAACTGCCCATTCAGACCCGTATTTTGTCCAAAAGGTACAAGTGATTCATCATTTTGTGCGAATTCCGTCTGTATTTTATACAACATATATAAAACAAATACTGTGAACTAGCGAAGATGCTCGTTGAATCGTATTTCCACTGAGTCCACTCTGCTTTTTTTTATTATGTCTTTCTATATACGACTTCTAACATATTGCTTCAGGCCTTAGCAAGTTCTTACACGAAACGCACTGTGATAAACCGAATAGGACCGATGACATGAGTGCCTTTAGATAACCTAATGTAAGCTCTAGTTTATTTAGTACAAACTTCACATTTTTCCATATTAAATGAGGTCGCCTTTTGACCGTATGAAGTGAAATACTCAGCTTACGTGTTAGTGCCTCAAGAGGCTGCGTAAACATTGAATCTACCGCATAGCCCATGATCGACCATTAACTGGTTCAGTATTCAATTGTAAAACAGTGAATTAGCTTGTGCTCTTAATAAGCAGTAAGTTCAGCGGTGCTTTACCTATAAGAAGGTTCTCCGCTCTTAAATCCTAGTAGCTTCCTGTTGCCAGGTTACCCAGTACATATATCTATACATGTCTCAATCAGCATATAGTTAGCGAACATCTTATTTCGTCTGCATTGTTGTTTCGTCAAAATTTACAAATATGAGACAGCTACGAAATTTGATGGGGTAACGGCAGACTCAACCTTACAAACCAGATACAATTACCATTGCGAGCAGTCGAGTAATATCTGAAACTAAAGCAAGATGACTGTGATGTGATGCATACGATCGGATCGACCGGATGTCAGACAGCTTGTCGTAGCCATATTAGTGTAGTCCATAATGACGGCAACAAAGGCACCTTTAAATGTCAGATGTTTAGTTGCAGATTTGTGTTTTCCTAGGTAAGCGAGACATCGGTTTGATATATTTTATAAAATGAATGTTTTTTTTTTGTGGCTATCTAAAATAATCTAATAGTTTGGAATTTATTTAGAAGGTAATCTGAGTTTCGGAGATGGGCACGAAGTGCTATTCCATTGCAGTGAGTTTTTTTTAATTATAAAAAAGCAGTATAATTTTAAAACGGTTTTCATTTGCGAACCAATTTTTGTAGTCTATCAACGAAAGTATGCCAATGCTTAAATACATAGGGTCACTAGGGTGTAACCTATGGTTAACCGATGCCAAACGCGTAATGAAATGGCCCCAACTGGTGTAGTACTAAATGCAAGAGTGGAATAATCATGAGTATCAATAGTGTGTATTCTACGGCATCGGTGTTGTTTATATCTGAATAAATCTTACTATAAGGTAACCGTGTTAGTAGGCGTTTACCCGAAACTTTCGACACGATAGGTATCTAAGTCAAGGTTCATTCGTTTCTATTCCGTTTGATTAAGCACTAATAATGATTGTGCTCCTAACGTGTAGTAAGCTGAAATTGTTTGTAAAAATAACGACAGCTGATTGATTTTTGTCATGTAGAATGGCTATAAAAATGTTGCTAGGCGCAGATAGGTTACAGAGGTATATGAGTGGTATATAGATGAATGATAGGTTTCTACGTAACCGAAATAGTGCTACGTTAAATGACACTATGTATAGCATGATAGTTCACGTATAGTGGCTGCAATTGTAACGTGGTTTTTCCTCGGTGCGGTGTCGGAGCGTCTTCATCTATTGATAATAACATCGCGTCTGTGGACGGATACTCATCTGTAGGGTTTTCTCCTAATCGTTAAGCTTCATCTGATTTGTTTGTAACCGATCAGGCTGTAAGGCAGTACTGCGCAGGCAGGATCAGTCACTGCACGAAGAGTCTTGCCCGTTGTCGACACGTAGTTTTGAGAGGGAATCACAAAAGATGCAGGACGTGGAGAAAAGGCTGGTTATTCCAGCCTCGCAGATGCGCTACCGTCAGTTGGCGAATGTGCCTACAACTGCAGTACGAAAGGAAGCTAGGAGCGTTTTCCAGCAAGGTATGGCCGTGTTGACGCTAGTATAATCTCTAGTGTGATATGTTCGATGCTGATCATTAGAAGAAGTCAATTTAGCTAAAATTTTGTAGCTCATACGGTCACTATCATTGAATCTTTATAGCACGATTTGTTTACGAAAGTCACTGACTGTTGCAAATGGGAAACCTTTTGGAATATTTTTTCCTGTGGTAAAGATTTACCACACACCTAATTACCTCTCCGCTTCTTTCATTGTGTTCGGTAAATGTAATTCTTACAACGACAATAATCTGTCGTCTATAATAACCGCACGCCGTATATAGCATATGGGATTCACCAGTACGATGAGAATACTTAGACTATCCGACAGCTACAAGAAATTTCACCGCATAACGGCACGAATAGGGCTGTCCTTTTCTCCTGCCCTTCACCTAAAACACCAACGCCTAGAATTCAAAACTCAATACTTTTTCCTCTTCCCCATAAATTTAATTGAGCGCGTCAAACATAGACGTTGAACGATAGTAATCAACCGACTAAAACAGGTTCCACAGTTACAACCTCACACAGGTCAATTAGCCAAAAGAAATAAATTTTGCCTGTTTCATATAACTATTTGTGCGTCCACTAAATTTATATACGGACGATAACTGAACTTTTTTTTTGATGAATGAATTACCCCCGCATCAAACCACGTACTTTCCACTAATTAATTATTTTTGTAGGGCACCGAGTTTGGTTAGAAATATTTTCTTATATTTCTTCGCGCATAAAATAAACCTGCCACAATTTACTCACGTGGCAGGTCACCATGAAAGTCTACGACAGGATGCCGTGATCGTCTGTCAGCGTTCAACAGCAGCTCCGGTGTGTGATCAAACTCAAAACGAAGAAAATGGCTCGTCGCCTCCAGCGGGATCCCGGCCAGGCGTCACTTCCAGGCGAGGAGAGGTCCCTACAGCATTGCGCAGATCGTCAGTGGAAAGTCCTGCTTCGAGTTTAGCCGAGACATCTTTTAAACAACTCACAAACGGTCTTAACAACGGCTCTCCGCCCCGGGCGTACAATATGTCTGACGAGACACTAGAACAACTTGAAAAAGCTCGGCTTGCGTAAGTGCTCTAGAGCAATAGCCCTCAGTAAAAACGTGTTTGTCTACTAAGCTCAAGGAAGCTTTAGGTGGTCCAGGGTCGAAAGTGGGATAGGCACATTTTGTTTCATACTGGGAATAGCCAGCCGTGTGAACAAATGTTCGACGGCAGTAGCACGGGACGTAGAAACTGGACGTACTTATTTAGGTAGACCAGATGTATTCGGTACGGTTCGGTGACACGGCCATCGCTAGAGGTATGAATAATTCTGTAGACCTCTTTATCGTCCCAGAGGTAAGGAAACAGAAAAAGTGCGTGTTTAATGAGCTGGTTTAAACTGTTTAAACAAACTAGAGTGATGATCGCCATAGTAGTAACGCGGGACTTTAAACTGTAGTTACTAAAACCCTGGTAGGTTATTTTGCGGCGGTTAGATGTTTTTACATTCATTGAACGTCACTATGTTTTGAATGTATGCGTATGGAAACCCGGAACAGACTGGAACGCGAATGCATCAAAGTTCCTGATGGTGTATCGTGCTTGCCAGATGTTATTGCTCAAAGAATTAACAATGAGGATGCTGAACTTCGCGATCGTGTCGAGAAGCTCGAGGAGCTCATAGTCACCACTCGTGCCCAGTTGGAAAAAGCTTTCGCCGTAAGTTGCGTCACCCTGTGGGTGTTCAAAAAAATCGCATATTACATGCTAATGTTAGTGATTTTCTTCTTTCAGTTCAAAAATAATAACACCTTATAATTGATCTGTGGCGTTATTTCTTATCTAACAATGTGGATTACATGCCCAATACGAACGGCACATATTTATTATTTCATATAGCGATTTAGCAGCCATTTAAATTATAGCTGAGTAAGATTCGTACGCACATATCTGCATGAGCATTGGAAAGTTGTTCTGAACACCTAATTAACACCAAATCTAATGCAGAAATCAGCAAATAACATAAGACATATCCGCTTGATTTCAGGAGAACCGCAATCTTCGAGCCCTGTTGGCATCAGAGCATAAGCTTCACGAGCTTCACGTTACAAAACTTCGCGATGAAGTTGAGATTCTTCGCTCGATAGTGTACCGCTCCTTCCGGCAAAATACTAATAGTTCTAGCAGTGACGATAGTAGCCACGGGACAAAAATGTGTTCGCCGAAGAGCACTCGGCAAGGCTCCATTGTCAATAAGTGAAGAAAACATTGGACTTGAGGCTTTTGAATATGTTAAATCAATTTCTTGAAGCACAAGTCTACCCGCCAGTGATTAAATCGCTGATCGAAAAATACTAACTGATTTTGATAACTGACAGAACAGAGGTATCCTGTCGAATATCGTTATAGTATATGCTTGTACATATAGTGCTAGTGTTAGACATAATTCAATGTAAGATATATATATATATATATAAGAGGATATCGTAGGTCGCCTCATGATAATAAAGACACTGTTGTGTTACCAGTTTCAATACGGTTATTATATTATAAATATATCCACTAAATCTTGATTCCTAATACGGCTGAAAATGACTAGTAGAATAGACGTTATATGATCTTCCCAATTTTAATTGTCTTGGAAAGAGTATGTTTATCTAATTTTCTTTTCATTTATTTAAAAGGCTTCCAAAAGTTTCAAACAGAACTATCAGACGACAAAGTGGTACCTTCTACGTACTGAAAAAACTTCCGATTGAGCTACGAAGAACCTACGTTAGTGATCGATTCTGTCTGCTACACAATACTTACTAATGCAGTTTTCGTTTAATTATTCTTTATTAGTAAGTGCCGTTTTATTCAGAGTTGCATCAAAAGCTGTCAGAAGAAGATTCCTCTGCAGATACGTGCTTTCAGTATTCTGCACAGTAGGTGCAATTAGTAAATCAGAAATCGATCTGAAATTACTATACCACTAGCAAAGGTCTAGATCTATACCTATTAATATTTACTACCTAACCTAACCTAGACAATTTAACGGCAGTTTCATTAGATGGATGACATTGTAATAGTAATATTAAAATTGTGTTCCTCGTATGTTAGTCGGGAACACATCTGGAATTGGTAACTTATCATACGAAATAAACTGTAGGCAGAGGTAAAATGAAAAGTGAAAAGCTAGTTCTTAATCATCATGCGGTGCTGCAAGATGGCAGTATTAGCGCCTACAAAGCGGAAAACGTAGGAGGAGAAACAGTGACTAATAGTTCTGACCAACATCTACATTCAACTAACGTCGAGGTGGATCTTTAATTTTGAGAAGATTCGAATAAGGCAGTGAAAAGCAAGTGTATATTGTTTTTAAATTTTTAAGAAATATTTTTCTTCTTCTTCTTCATGACTTTCCTTTTGAAGAATGCTTTATTATATTTTATCGGCATATTTAAGTAGCGATTTTTATCATTTTATTGGCTGTACAAACCGAATAAACCTATGACTTGAAGCGTTAATTTTTTTCTCGAAGGATCTGCATGCGATGGCTACACGAAGGTAGATTTGCCCACCTTCGACAACCTCTCTGATGTGGCCAGAGGTGGAGCTGACATAAAGGGCCAGATACGTCTGTGAGATACTTGACACGACAGCTACAGACGACTTCTTTTTGTATTTTGCTAGCAGGTTTTGGACCATACGCGAAAAAAGCGGGTTTTAGCGGAATTTTAAGAAGTATTTTTTCGTATTAACGCCTTGCGCTTATTCGACCGAATGAACCTATAAACCACCATTTAGAGTTAACCATGTCTTTTAATACTGAATAAAAATTTAAGCCTTTAAAAAAATTCAGGTCTCTGTTATGAGCGTAGTTCACGTACCGATAGCACTTAACAACACAAAACGTAAAAACTAGAGCCCGCTGTAGTCGGTCGCATTGTTTTGTAATTAACAGCTGATCATGGATTCATCAAATTATTTTAAATAGCCGTTAAGAAAAAAACCATACGATTGTTTCTCCAAAAGTGATTTCTTTCTATCGTTTATAATTAATGCTTATTTGATTATAACATGCCGAAAATTGGAATTAGATACTACGCTACTGCGTGTATGGCTCAGCATCACTATACGAGCTATTCTATGTTTTTGCCGAGTTCCAGGTGCCAATTGACAATGCGCAATCTTTCATATGTCACGAAAATGATGATTTATTCTGACGACGATTTTCCTAATTGTCACAGTGATAATTTTAAGCGTCTTAACGGTGATGGGGACGAACCAGGCAGGAAGCACTACGGATTCAGGCCGCTAGTGGAAGGCGGTGATTTCCAAAACTACAAACAACTCGTCTTGTAAAGAAGCAGAGACGACGAAAAAGCAAACGCAAACAGCGAGGACAAATTCTAAAATTAAAAAAAAAAAAAAAAAAAAAAAAAAACGCTGAAAAAGCTACATATTTGCGTAAGTTTGCTTTGCTTTAGACGAATTACTAAGTTCTCGGGAATTAACGGAAAGATTCGTTAGACAACGAGGGACCTCTGCTACATTAAAAACAGCTATGAAGATATTCTCAAAAAGCCGTGTTCGAGGAACAGGCATCGACACCCAGGTTCAGGTAGCAGCATTCATTTAATTATTAAGGTATTATACCGCTTTATTTCTGTCTTTGTAACCTCTAAGTTGCCGACCGCGCTAATTTCTGACATGTTCCGAATGTCACGCTATCCTGCGTGGTGTACTAGAGATAGATCTCAAGTGGTTTGCATACGCTTGATTACGTTTGGAGTGATATTTTCCGTTCGTAAATACTTTGAATAGAAGGACCTGTATCGAACCGTAGTGTTGTGTATTGCAGCCAATCGGCTGCTTTCAATTTATCCATTATCGGCATCTTCAACGGAACATTGGTTTGGTTTATGCTTTGTGGGCCATGCACAAAAGGAAATAATATTCATATTAAACGATATGAGCAGTCTAACCTTAGAATCATACAATTTCTAGCACATATATTTCAAGTGATAGGTCCTATTTTGAGAAGTCCTTTGTAAAATCGATTTTATCCTTTGCGCATGTGTAGCATACATGCATATTAACAAAGATAAGTTACCATAGACGCATTCACATTAACATTGAATACAGATAACCCAGAGAGCATTCAGTGGCACGACGATAGCGACATATACCTGACGTAACAAATAACGATTTAAAATTTACGAAGACGAACAGAAACGACCAATAGACGTATATAAATCGAACAGTTGAAGACACTTCGTGCAATTTTAGTTCGTTCGCGACGGTAATCAGTTGCTACGTGACACCTCGGGGCCTGAAAGGCTAAACATGCCAGAGATTGAAGACTTATACGTTTTTTTTGTCTACTATGATGCGGCTGTAGTTACATACAACACGCGCCTCGGCCAGGTGTTGGTGAAAAGTTAGGTTGCTTTTATCGAACGTCGAATAACGTCGCGCACACATCACCAGCCACAGCATGTCGAATCATGCGATGGAGTAGCCTCCCCTGCTGCCATTCCGTTAACAGTGAATGAGCTTACACCGAAATATTTGTTTTGCCGATTGAAAATTTGTTATAGCAACATAGCTCAGAGTAGAAGCAAAGTGATCTTTCTTAAATGTAGTGCTGACTGATACTACGTTGAGGACAATGGACTTTCTTCGAAAACACGGCATCGCTGGTCTGCACAACCGATTGATGCGGATCGGGCGTAGCGCCAAGTTCAGCACGGTTCCAGATGAGATTATATTGGAAGTTGAAGCTCTGGATCCAGAGGTACGGAAACTTCTTATGAACACAGCTGAATTCAATTACGTATATGAAATACCGCTGTTTGAAGCTGTCAAAGCGGCCAAGGAAGAGATCGCAATGCGGTTTCTTCATTGGGGAACAGTACCAACCTTGCAGTTATATGAAGCTCTTTTCGCTTGTTATCCAGGCGAATCTAAGGATATTTATGGACAAATGCTACAAAGAACGCCTCAGGACGTTGTTAAAGATGTGTTCTGGTTGGCGTGCGAGAAAAACGAACCGCACGTAGGTGCTTTGGCCTTATCCATGTTAGCTTGTCCATTTGAGAACTATCTTGAAACGATGACATCGTGCAGTGAGATGATCTCGATCATTCATCAATACGCACCATTAGTCGAAGGCGTACAAAACGAACGAGTTGCCGGTCTTTTCTTAGTGGCACTCTGCGATCAGGAACCCGTTATACCGGCTCTGCTAGACACGGTTAATGCGACGCTCGGAGAAAAGTCACGAATATTCATCATACTTGGGGCCGCTAACGTTATAGGCGAAAAAATCGAGCAGGGTAGACTTTTATGGAAAATGGCCATCCGATCATTTTGGGGTAAGCAAATACCCGAATACCCAACTTCTACGGAAGTCGGCATGCTAGAGGGCGTAGATGAATTTCGAAACGTCGACGAGCCGGAACAGATGGAAGAGACGGACGCTCTGCTTCAGGCGCTGATGGCAATCGAACGTAGTTTCGGCCGTGGCTTGCTTCTCTTGTCCGCTCTACTAGCTCGGCCGTACACAGAAAAACTTTGCGTGTACGCAATGCAATTGATGATACGAACAAACAAGTTAACAAACGAGAATATCAATCGTCTTGACGACAACCTCACCAAATTGGGAGTGTACAGAAATGGCAAACTATCAACTGTGGTCGACCTTCTCGATTGCTGTCTTGACGCCATCCACCACATTACAATGGGCTGCACTGGGGAGACCCAGCGACAGGACGACGTCGTGCAGCACCAGCACCAACTTCCACAACAAAGTCAACATCAGTCTCAGCAGATTCACAGGTTCGACGATCAACTGATGATGGACGCCTGTTTTCAAGCACGCGGACTGTTATATCGGGTGGAACGGCAAAACCCGCTTTTTGGCCTACTGTTGACAGAGTTTATCGCAAAACTGTTGCTATCGTTAGAATGGATTAATATAAACATTAATGACAACCGACTGAAATTTGTGCTACAGAGGATTACACGATCGTGCAGAAAGATTAACGACGGCCCGTATCTTTTTATTCGTTTAGGCGGTCTCCGTAGTCAGGAGCCAGGAAGGTTAAATATCATGCAGATACTGAAATTCTTTGAAGCAATTTGAAGTCATTTGATGTCGGCAACTGCGTACTAATTTACACAGACCCACCAGGTCAGGACACAGATTCACTTTACGTCCAAGGTTATAATATCATTAGTACGGGTACAGTGACAGCTGTCCTTTTAGAAAGATGTTCAATGTGTTAGCTTGTATTAAACGTTAAAACAAACCTAGTGAGTTTTTTTAGGCAATAAACAAGACAAACACCACGCATCAGGGTTGAAATTGACGGCGCTGTGCGGAATCGAACAGTTATACATTTCTATGTGAAACAGAGCTTTGTTATTTTTCCATTTGCTATATATATATATATATATATATATATGAATGAGCGACTAGCAGTAACAGGGTCCTTCTGTGTTTTTTGTAAATGACATTTATTTTGCAACATAAGGCAAATGTTCC